CATGTCATTTCATGCATTTCATTTCATTTCATTTCATTTCATGTCATGTCATTTCATTTCATTTCATTCAATTCATTCATTCATACATTCATTCATTCATTCATTCATTCATTCATTCATGCATTCATTAATCGATTCATTCCTTAATGTTCATTTCATTTCATGTCGTTTCACTTCAGTTCATTATTTCTTTCATTGGTTCTTTCGTTTGTTCATTCATACATTAATTCATTCATACATTAATTCATTCATTCATACATTAATTCATTGATTCATTGATTAATTGATTCATTGATTCATTGATTCATTCATTCATTGATTCATTGATTCATTGATTCATTGATTCATTCATTCATTCATTCATTCATTCATTCATTCATTCATTCATTCATTGATTCAGTCATTCATTCATTCATTCATTCATTCATTCATTCATTCATTCATTCATTCATTCATTCATTCATTCACTAGTCGATACCCAACGATTTCTGCCATGCAAAAGAAAACCAGCATTCTCATTTTGAGAGACCCGGGAAAACTTTAGATGGTACTCTTCGGCTCCATGTGGATCAGCCTCTTACCCCTACCGCTTTGCTGCCAATGTTCAGGGCGAACATGAGGGGTCCGCCTCGTGTGGAAACACGAAGTCGTTGGTTCTCTGCTGAATCCCTGAGAAACACAAAAGGAGTTTCATGGGGATCAGCCAAAAAATTAAGATTCTCCAGCCTGAAGCGTTTGGATGATAGCCCCCTACATGCGATTCGCAAAGCTATTATGACTCACCGCAATACCAGTAGGCCCCCCTTGCTCCATTGGTTTGTTCCCCTTTGAGCAAATGCGTCCCGACAAGTCCCAAACAGCGGTGAGGTACGGAACCCTCTGTCTATACCAAGCCTCAGGACCCTTCAACCCTGTTGAACTTCTGAAGTGGTCTGCCCAAAATTCCCCGACCTTCAAGAACTGGTAGTTTCTCAAAAACAACAATGGAAGGATATGGATGAACAGAATGGAATCACACCCTCATAAACGGGAATTCCACTCAAGTGGGTGCGTCGCAGCTATTAGTTGTCTCGAGGCAACCAAACGAACCCAGTTATAAACTACAATTGGACCATTGCTGCTTACCAGCTATACAAAAATCACTGGATGTCCCAAGTCAGTTGATCAATTTGCTGATGGTGTCCATTGAAACGATCGCCACTTTTGGAGGTTCCAAATGTAGTCCCAGGCTCCGTAGACCAGGGTGCAGAAGTAGAGATCGATGTCTTGGACCGGCACCTGAGCTGAGAACGCTCAAACGACCCTGAAACGGTCCATTCAAGTGCCCTCAAACAGAAAACATGGTGGGTACCCACAACAAGGAACACCCTCCAGATTTGTGGGTTGCAAAAACCTATGTCGAAGGGGATATTCAGGGTCCTGGTACCTTTACAGCTCTTGGCATGGGCTCCCAGAGAAACTGACTGTTTTCTGTCAGCCCACTAAACATGAACAGAACCAAAAAACCTAAAAACTCCGAAACCCACAAAACATGCACCAGCAACAGCGAAGCGCCTGATTTTTCGTTGGCGACCCTTGAAGGTGCACATCACTTGGGGGATTTACTCGGGCACCAGCCACTTTCCGGTGCCCTTCAAAGTTCATATTCGGACGGCACAACCCTCATATTCAATTCGTGGAACCCCTCAGAGTGGGGGGCCATTCCCCTTGCGCAATGTCATACGGCCCGGCCAAAAGATGTTCAGCTTCCGCATAGGGCATTTTCCATTGGAATTGAGCCAGTCGCACTCCCAAATCAACTGGGCCCTGGATATTTTGACCGAAGCAATTTGCCAGCTCCAGTGGACTTTCAAACTATTGCATTTTGACCCTATACACTACCTCTCCCGTCCCTCCGAACCGCTTGCCAAACAAAGGCTTGCACGTCAACTTGTACGTTTTGAACCCCCATTAGCTGGTGCAAATCTGGGGTCTGTTCTTACTGCATTTGGAGGCCCCCGTGAAGCAGGGTTCCGCAAACAAAAGTCGGATACTCCGAAGCCCAGGTAGCCCGCGAGCCCGCCTTGCCCGTGTACTTCACAACGTCGAAATTGGCTTGAAGAAGTTGCCACAGCTCCTAGGGGTTGATTCCCGAAATTGGTGGTGACTCCAATGTCACAAAGAATTGCACAAGAAGACGAGTTCCTGGTGTTTCACCTTCGGATGAGCCTTCAAGCTGGCGTATCTGACACTTGTTCAAACACACCGATTCCAATTTGTCGACATGTTCATCAACCCTTCAGGGACTCATCCAACCATAAGGGTTCCAAAGGGATGATGAGCCTAACACCAGGCGTTTTCCACGGCTGCTGGGCTTGGAAAGAAAGATCCGCGGAAATAGGGAAGGTATCCCTGGCACGCCGAAGTTGAGTGGGACTTCATTTTCTGTTTCTCCCAGGCTACCAAGACAAGAACCTGGAGGGTCAGTGTGAATTTTGATGGGGGACCCGTTGGTGGACATCATGCAGAATGTTCACTGTCAAAATTCATCGCCCAAGTTCCCAATGTCCGATAGATCCCACTGGGGCAATCCTCATCCACGGAATGGCTTTGCTGATTTCATGGGGTTTCACGGAGGATAAGCCTCAAAGGTCTCAAAGGGTCCCATTGTACCTCCCCAGAAGAACTCCTTCTTAGGTTCTTGAAACCTTGCCAGAAAAAAAGGGGGGCCTAATTCGTCAATGTTGAACTGTTCTCCGCTTTGCGTTGGCCGCGCTGGGGTCAACAAAACACTTTTGAGAGGGGTCCCATTCTCTAAATGAGGAGAAGAGAATTGCTGGTTACCTAGCCCTTTCTCTCATTAGGACGACTGGTCCAGAGCTTCCGACGAGAACACTCGCACGGCTTCCACAGCGCTCGCACAGCAGGGCAGTGCGGAACGCTGGTTCATGTCCGCTACCGGAGCGGGACCGCAAGGTCCGAGGAACGTCTCACGGCTCGGGTGGCCGTGAAAGCTCTAATCCGCCTTTCGGCGGATTGAAGGGTAGCCTGTGTGACATGTAGAGACAGCCCGTGTTGAGGCGGGGCAATGCCCAAAGGAGCCAGATTGAGGCTTCTCAGCATTGGGATGTTCAACCCAAACTGGGAGGCGAGGGCTCCAAAAAAAGCACGAACAAGCCGAATGTCAGCAGCCAAGGTTGGTTGACCTCCGCTGCCTGTGCATTCGGAACGGTGGCACCAAATCACGCCGTTCCTCGCTGTCCTAATGACAGGAAACTCGACTTGCTCAATGCGAAGGCATGCAACCAGTTCAATCCAGGAAATGTAAAGGCCATGCTCGGCCGTCTGTGCTTCCTGATGCAGCCAGTTGATTACTGCTGCAGAGAAAGGCCTGCTGAACTGCCGAATTATCTCCGTTCCTGCAAGTGACTCGGCCCAAGCTGGTGGTATGTCTTCAAGCCAGTTGGCGTCCGGATCCATCTGCCTCGTGAGAGCGACAGGTGGATCTTCTTCTGATTCCTCAAACTCGGTGGTTCGTTGGTCTGGCTGCGCAAAAATTTCAGCGATGTCAAGTTGGAGCTCAATGAAAAGGCTGAGCTCATCCAGAATACGCTGCTCTTCATGCGCAAACAGATCCCAACACTGCTGAAAAGGCCGATCACGGTGTGAGTTCGCAAACTTGGCGCACAAGTCTGCCTGATCATTCCAGTGAGCGGTCCATTCGTCAGCAACATTTGCATCATCATCTGTAACATTGTGGCTGGTGATGTGAAGCACCTGGAACTGGTGGGGTGGTGTGTTTGTGAGGAGTTGGGCAACGGAATGCCACAGGTCTGGGTTGGTGGTTGCAGTCGAAAGTGGATCCGATTGGATCTTCCAAAAGCCCCGAGCTACGTAAGCCGAGTCCAGAGTGTTGTGGTAGTATGAGATCGCAGGGTCCATTGAAGTGCAACGAGAGCTGCTGTTAACTCTGCTCGGTTGATAGATTGAGGCCAGCCCGCAAGCGGGCCAGCTGCGATACACTGCCCATGAGTTGCCGAGGTGACCGCCCAGGCGGCAAGCTTGGTGGAAGGTATAGAAGGAACTGTACAAGCCCCATCACTGAACAGGTGTACCTGCTCGCCGGGTTGCCCAATGTGGTCGTAGTGCAGAGGGTATTGCGGGAGTTGAAAGAGCTGATCAAAGAAGGCAGGGAAGTGTGGGTTGTCGGATGGGAGCAGTCGCTCCTTGGTGCTGACTGTGGCATGGGGCCAGGCTTGCATGGCTTGCGAGTGGCGGGCACGTAGTTGCTGAGTAGCAGTGCAGGTAAGTGCCCTGTGCTGAAGAGTATCGGCTGCACGACAATGGCGACATAGGCCATCCGATAGATTGTCGTACTTGGAGATGGATTGGCCAGTGAAGAAAGCTCCTTCACGGTGGGAGTTGATTCGCGCAAGTTGGAGGGCCGTTCGTTTCCTGGCAGTGTGCTTGGTGATGGCATAGTGAATGCCTGTCAGCCCCTCGTAGTCCTTACGTCCGCTTAGTCCCGACGCGAGCTGTGCGCACCAGGCGTGCAACACCAGTTTGTAGAGGGTGGTGGCGTCAGCCTGTAGTAGGTTGTGTCGGTGGTTGAGGTGGTCACAAAGGATGGGCGGTGAAAACACGCTCCATCCAATGTGGTTGAGTTGTCGTAGGAGTGTGGCGAAGGGGCCAGCCCCAAGTTGCCCCGTGAAGTGCTGCATGTATTGGTGCCAATGGTCAAGCAGCTGTGGCGATTTCGCAAGGATCCTGCGGAAATCCAAAAGGACCTGCCACAGCTGGTATAGTCCTGGATCCACAAGAGGAGATTCGCTCAGCAGGGTGAGCCTAACTCCTGGGTGAGCTCCTGATTTGCCGTGGTTCTGAGAGCGTACTGCTGCAGTGCGAAGTCGCTGCAGTTCCGCTAGGCTGTAGTCGCAAATGGAGGCGGAGTGGAAAAGCTTGGGCCACAGAGCTTGTTGGATGACCAATTGCTTGCAGGCTGTCGCCATGCCCGATCGTTGGAGTAGCAACCAAAGTGGCTGGATCGCCGCGATCAGCGCGTGTATTTGGGCAGTCCTCCGTGTGGATCGGTAGGTCATATGCCCGCCAAGGTCCTTGGCATGCTGAAGGCATTGAAATCCTGCACTTTGGAGAAGGGTGCGTTGTCCAGGTTGGACTGCCCAGGTGTAGCATTTGGCTGGGTTGCAGGAAAGCCCCAGCATTTCCAGGAAGGCATCCTGAACCGAAATGGCATGAAGGAGTTGTCCAGTCGTGGCAGCGACAATTTCCAGGTTGTCGACAAAACTGGCACATGCAACTGTGGGCGCGTAGTGGTGGTTGTAGACGTGGAGTGCCCAGTTGGCTATAGCCATGGCCAGGCATGACAGGCCACATCCTTCAGGGAATCCAGAAGTAGAGGGAATGGCTTCCCCTACAGATTCCCGGAGTTTGAAGCGTCGAGTGGTGTGGTTGAGAAATTGGTGCCAAGGCTCGATGATGTGGCTGGGGATTCCGATATGCTCCGCCAAAAGGCGTATGGGGCCCCGGGGCAGGTGTTCAAATGCTTTGACTATGTCCGCGACATAGCCACAGAGCTGCCCTTGTTGTTGCGATTGGAGCTCTATAAGTGCTTGCAGTGGAAGCCAAATTTGGCGGGCTTCCTTGCCTGGCATGAAGCCAAATGCTGGTATGTTCGAGTGGTGTTGGAGTTGTCGTAGTAGTTGCTTGGCTCTCAATGAGGACCAGGTGCGGTAGTTCATGCTGTAGGTGATGATGGGTCGGAAGTCGCCGACGACTTCTGGTTCGTCAACTTTTGGGAGGCCGTTTGCAATTCCAAGCAGGAGTTGCTTAGGCCATGGTCTGCCGGCTTCGATCTCCTGAAAAGTCTGGAAGTGTGCCTGCTGAAGTGCTGGTGGAAAGTGCTGAAGATCCTGGTAGCTGTAGCCATCTGGACCCCTGGCTGCGTATGGTTTGAATCGGCGTTGCGCCGCCTTCCAGGTCTCGAATTGTAGAGGTGGAAGTTGGAAGCCAGGACTAGGCATGTGTGCTTTGGCAAAGGCAAGAATTCGTTGCCAGGCTTCTGTGGAAATGTGGTTGGTATGGTTCCATCGGTGGTGCCAGTATTTTCGCAGCTCCCGATGCATATCTTCTTCAAGGACGTGGTTTTGTTGGCACGTGAGAGTGTCCCCTGGCTCAATTGGATGTGGTTGACACAGCCGGTAGGTGTCAGTTGAGGTGATTTCAAGGTCTACTGGGTTGTCGTTGATCCACCACTGAGTGTTGGAGGTGGGTTGAAGACTGACATCGGAATGAATTTCCATCCCATCATCCGAGATGCCAATGATACAGGCTGAGTCTTCGGTCATGAGCCGGTCCATGGGGGCTCGGCTGTTAGTGTGTATGGTCTTGAAGGCCAGATGCCTTGATTGCTGTAGCTTGGCTTTTAAGCACTTGCCTCGTTGGCGTAAATTCCAGGATTCGAAGCTCCTGAAATTACGTTGAAAATCTTCGTAGATGAGTTCTGCGGTGTCAAGTGGTGGTGGTCTGTCGGGTAATGTGGTGGGGCTACCTTGTAGTTGGTGAGGGCGTTGTTCCCACCAGCTCGAAAAGCAAGGCTCAAATCCTTTGGCGTGAAGGACTGAATGCCAGGTTTCAAGACGGTAGAGAATCTGTGTCTCTGACTGGCCGTCTGCTCGAACATTGTGTAGAAGACTCTGGAGTCTTCTAAGTTGTTTGTACCAGCGTAGAACAGCCCGGTTGATCAAGTCAGAGGCAAGGCATTCTTCACCTTCGCGGCTGGGACGGGCTGTGGGTGGAGCTCGTTGTTGGAAGACTGGAGCAAGTTGTTGCCCCCGGCCTCGGCAACCTGTCGGAAGGCTGCGGCCTTGTGCTTGGAGATGTTGGTGAATGGAGTCTTCATATGCCTTGCCAAGTTGTGCGTATTTGGCAGTGGAAGAAAGGTGAGGTGCGTCCGTGATGTGGATGTAGTCATTGGCCCATTGCTGATGATCAATGAGGTTCCAGGGAATTTCCGCTGGAAGCGGCCAGCGTTGGATGCGTTGTGGCTTCAATGGAAGATCGAAGGAGGCCCAGAGAGCTCCATGATCGGCAAAGGCCTGCGAGAAGTGAGTGGCTTGATAGAATTGCGCAAGCTCAGGTGAGATGTATATGCGATCGGGGGTTGAAGTGCCCCGGTAGGTCTGAAGAGGTGGGGTACCGGTGCGGATTTGGTGAAGGGTTTGAATTTCAATCCACCCGGCTGCAAGCCAAGTACGAATGGAGGGAAGGTGGGATTCCGAGTGGTTGAAATCTCCAGCCACGAATCTCAGGCCTGAATGGCCTAGTATGAGCTCCGAGGTGATGTGTTGCAAAAGGAGCTCCGTATCTTGTCGTGCTTGTGGCCACGTGGGAGCCGTGGGCCACCCGTAGACGGTGCAGCCCGTGATTGCATGATGGTCGTGCCAGCTCCTAGTGAGTAGGGTTCTGCCGGCTGTGTACTCGGCGTTGGGCCATGGGATGTGGAGTTGCTTGGTGCTGATGTCTGACAACTGCATGACACCAGCCCATGTCCCAGCCGAGAGGGATCGATTCCTGAGAGGGACCGGGGCACCAAATGTGGTGCTGGTCTTGCGATGTTGCCGGTGCGCGGTGCTATGAATTTGCTTGCGGAGTGTGTGCATTGATGGGAGTGCAAGGTGAGTCTCCGCAATGTTCCAGATACCTCCAGAAGGCAGGTCCAGGATAATGTCTGCTTTGCCAATGGCACCACTGGGGTTGGTGGTCCCCAGTATGAATCGCGGGCCCGGGTGACTGGCCTCGCCGAAACGGAGTGTTGGCTGATGGTGAGCCAATTGTGACAAAATGTCAACCAGGGTTCCAGGCAGATCCAACCCAAGTTCGCGGTGATCCGCGCTGTGCATGAAGAACTGGGTGAGTTCTGCAACTGGATTCGGCTGACTAAGTGGTGTGTGGCCTAAGGGGCCCAAAACGGAAGCCGAACTGACTTCAAAACCACATGAGGTGAGTTCGACATAGTCTGGCTGGATTGATCCAACATGGGGTTGGACAAAGGTGGAGTGTTCATCGGCTCGCAAACCAGAAGCAAAGCCGAAATGGAGCTGAGTCCAAAGGACAAGCCAAAGAAGGGTATGTCCCAATCCCCAAGAGAGCAGGCGATGCGGTGATCTAAATCGAGGCGCCTGGCGTGCATCAGCGCCAGGCCCGGAGTGCCTTAGTCAGTTGGTGCGGAGCCTCTTGTTGAGGAGTCCTTCTATGGCTTTGAAGCCATCTGCCATTTCAGCATGGATGCTGGTGTTGAGTTGCTCGATTTGGCTTTGCATTTGGATGATGGTGGTTTGTTGCTGGCCGACCGTGGCATGAACGGCTTCGAGCTGCTGCTGCGTGGAGCTTTGGGCGGCTGCTGCATCATTGAACCAGCTTTCGAAGCGCACGGAGTGCTGTCGCAACTCCTGTATGTCCGCCTCTAATCTGTTGATGCGTGGGTCGTGTGGATCCGCCCCGGTGCCCATGTCGGTGTCCGAGGGGCCAAGAGCCGAGTGGTCATCCAGCTCTTTCCGGATGGTGGCTGTGAGGTCGCTTTTGAGTCTCTGCTCAACTTGTTGCAGTCGATCTGCTGTGCAGTGTGTCACACTGGATCCTGGTTGCTGGTGACCAGTTTTGGACCAAGGATCCGGTCCAGTGACCCACGGGTCTTGAGAGGCAGCGGGTTTGTTGCTGTTGTTGATGTAGGATCGCGTCTTGCGTGACACCACGATAGGATCAGTGGCGTCATCCTTGTTGATGGTGCGAACTTTGGTGACGATCACATCACCATGAGCTCCAGGCAGTATTGGGGAAGGTGGAGGTTGGTCCGATCCGACTTCCCATGTGACGCCAGTGCCATCTCGTCGGATTGGTTGAAGTGGCTTGGCTTTCCATCCCCAGGACTGGAGGGATTTGACGAGCCCTGGGCGTTGTGTTCCATGGGGCAATGGAAAGAGCTGGTAGATGTCAACAACCTTGATGGGAAGGAAGTCTTCCAAGGGCTTCAGCTTCTTGTGGCCGGCTTCAAGAGCTGCTTGCTCGAAACGAAGTCCATACTTGTTGAGAAAGCGAGCGACAGAGAGCGCTTTGTCAGTAGTCTTAAGCCGGTGCAGAGCGTCTTGGAGTGTGATGGGTCCCAGCCACACAATGCCGAATCGCTCATCTGGTTGTTTGCCGGATGAGTCCCGAGGGTCGATGTAGATCCCGTGCGTGGCAGAGCCCCGGATGACCGCCTCGGCTGCTGCACTAGTGATTCGAAGGAGCACGCTCCATCCAATTGCAGTTTGTGGTGTGGCACTTTTGCCGGTAGTAGCAAACCAGGAACGGTTCCATATGTCATGGATGACCGAGTCGATGTCGTCGTCATCGACTGGAGGATGGAAGTTGGGGCAGCTATTGCCACAGCCGTCCCGTCGGCAGAGCATCAGGATGGGGAACTGCTGAATGACCGCTTTCATGGGTCCATCCTGGAAGGTGGTCCAGTCGTTGGGCCATTGATCCTGATAGACACAGAGCTTGAGTGTCGTAGTTGGAGTTGGCGCAATGCTTGGCCTGTTGGGATGGCGTTCTCGCATGACCTGAACTTGTCCCAATTGTGCGAGTGTGCCACGGATGAGAACCGGGTCCTGCGTTCCCTTGTGGATTGCAGGGAAAACGAGGTCCTGGAGAGTGAGCATGCCTCTCATTTCCGAAGGAATTGCTGCCGTGGTAAGAACAGCGAGAGGTCCGTCCGAGATGGGTTGCCCTTCCCGGAGGAATGGTGCAAGATCAGCGGGAGTGGCAAAGGCAATGCCTACTTGGTGTTGGCTGAGGGTGTTGAAGGGGATGTGGTGTAGAGCGGCTCCATCCTCTGCGATGAATGAGTTGGGGATTAGTTCAAGGTCCTGTGGCGTGACCTGGAGCTCTGGTTGAGTTGGACGTGTCTTGGGCTTGTTGGTGCGTCTCTGGATGGCTCCAAAGTGGTGAGCCGCTTTTTCACGAATTCTCTCCTGTAGTTCGTCGCTCTGAACGAACAAGAAATGGATGTCAGGTCGTGAAGCAATTGCTTTTAGCTTCTGCCAAGGTGCCTGGCTGGCCAACGCTTGTGAAACTTCATGGTGCGGAAGTTTCTTCAGGGCTTGATGCGCACGTTCGAGTGTGCGCTCCGGAGGGACTCCTTTTGTGGCCAGGAGTTCACTGAGCTTCGTAGCGAGTTGCTGTGTGTCGGCGGGCCCAGTGCCGAAGATCCCATCCGTATGTGGGTGCTGTTGTCGGATGTGGTGGTGCCAGTGTTGAATGCTGCTTGGTGTAGCAAAGCCAATGCTAAACACAAGGTGTGCTAAGGCACAGGTTCCGCAGGTGTGTGGATCTGTTTGCTGGTAGTGCGTGCGAGAGACGAGATGTAGCCGATCGTGCTCATCTGCTGTGGCAAGCTGGTGGATAAGTGCTGTGAAAGGTGCCGGGATGCTGGTGTCAGGTGTGGTGGTAGAGTGCAAGCTGTTCCAGTGTGTGAAAGCTTGCTGGGAGCCTCGGCTCCTTGTGAGGAGGGTCCAGTGTTGGTTGTGTAGACAGATCGCAAAGAAAGCGATTGGCAGTGTGGAGGTTGGGTGTTCCGGGATGTGGCCGCCGATGCAAGCATCGATCCCGGGGGTGTGGTGGGGTAAGTCGTCACTGGGAAGCCCCAGGGTGGCCAGCACGTCTTTGATGTGTCTGTCGCTGAGTCCTGCCTGGCGTTCCTGGATTGGTTCACGGCGGAGTTCGTAGGGTCCCAGGAACCCAATGTCTTGCAGGACGGCATGCTTGGGCAGTTGATGTGGTCCATCCCAAAGGCTGGGTGTGGTGGTGTGGTCGAATTGTTGTTCTGCTCGGAGAAGATGATCAACTTCTAAGAAACCATCCCGAATGACTGGCAGCCATCCATGTCCGTCGTGAATGAGGAGATGTCGTGTGGCATGTGATTGATCAGTCTGCCAGTGGTGGTGTCGTTGGAAGAGAAGCTGCTGCTTGTGTGCCTCCAGAAGCTGTAGCGGTTCGGCAAGTGGTGTTCGGCTGAAAAATTTCTGAACAGCCCGAAGAAGGTGGCTGGTGATCCAAAGCGCCTGCAAAGGGGCCGCAATCTGTCCCAGCAGACACAATCCATCCCTGGCTGATCCCACAAAGTGGTACCCAGCTGGTACCGTGTGCAGGAGGCAAAGCTCTTGAACGTGCAGAAACCTCGGCTTGTTGGTAACTTGGGAGATGATGTAGAAGCCCCTGAGACCGCCTGTGATGAGGCGGTTGGAACTGAGTGCCTGTTTGCGGCAGCCGCATGGACAGGCCGTCAGTGCGGATCCATAGCTGTGAAGGACGGTGGGGCATACGCTGGTGAGTTCCAGGCGCCGGTGCTGTGTGCCGTGTGCTGGGTTGCTGTAGGCATCCATCTCATCATCATCAAGACCAAGGGCAAGTTCTTCGTCACGGGACCACAGGGGCCAAGCCGGAATGATGTGCCCCACAGTGGGCATGCGCGTGTCCATTGGCCATGGATTTAGCTCTGAGGCATCCATGGCAGCTGGGATCAAAAGCGCCCACCATCTGTTCCGGCGAACTGGCCATTGGTGCTGCAGCTCGAGGAGGACAAACTTCGCCTGAAATCCCATGTGTCCGGCGAAAAGCTGCAAGCTTTCCTGAACGAAGGGGAAATTCTGGACATTGGCCACGCATTCTAACAGAACTGCCGACGATTGGTGTAGCCATGCTGTACGAAGAGTGCCCCAAAACGCGGAAGCTCTGGAGTCCTGAGATCCTCGGCCGTCTCCTTGCCGGCTGAAAGGCTGGCAAGGAAAGCCTGCTCCCAGGATTGTAGGCTCTGCCGTGTTGGCGAGGTGCAACTTCAGGATGTCTGTGTCGCTGCAAACGCTGCCCTGAATCACATTCAAAGCCTGGTTGGCTCTAAGCGTGCTGCATGCCAAGGGGTTGGTGTCCATGTGGGCCACTACGAGAACAAAAACCATGTTCAGGTTCCCTGCCGTTCTTTTCTCTCAAGCAAAGTTTCTCAAAGGTGACCCCTGATGGTGTCCTTCTGGTTCATGTTGAACACTTGGCCCCCCGATTTTGAGACCACAGTCCCATGACCTCACTGGTATGGGGCAGGGGTAAGCTCTCAGTACTTCAGAGCGTCAAATGCTCTCAGGTACTTGCAGCTTCTGACTCGCTCAAAGTCAGTCTGCTCTTGTTTTGGGGGACCCCAGAAAATGCCTTCAGCTCTCCTGTTCTTCACAACCACCAAAAAAAGGGTGGTGAGCCTGAAAAAATGACCCTTGGGGTTTCTTAAAATTGGGAACCCCCCCCCCCCTCGCAGGTGGTGTCCTGTTGATGTTCCTTTAAAAACATCCAAAAAGGGGGTTCGATTCCTATTCTGAGAAACCCCAATTGAGTGTGTCCCTTTTAAGGGAATTCCCCCCCCCAAAAAAAAAAAACATGGCGGCTTTCATGTCGGCTTCCTTAAAATTCGTCAACAAAGGGCTCCCCAAAAAACAAGGCACCCCCACATCGCTCTGCAAGAGAAACCTACCCTCACTGCCAAACATAGCTTGGTTCCCCCAAACAAAACACCCGACATCTATGTTGAGATACCCCATTGGAGTGTGCCATTCTTTAGGGGACCCAAAGTTGAGGTTGTCCTTTTGGCATCCTTCAAAAGCTCCCCCAAAAACACCCCCCCGCCCCTCCCCCCAAAACAAGAACAAAAACATGTGGGTGTCCGTTTGGCCTCCTTGTTAAGATCCCCCCCCAAAACACAAACACACACCAAAGAAAAAAACAACAACGTGGCGTTCCTTTTGGCTTCCTTAGGTCCCGCCAAAAAAAAGAACCTTCCCCCCCCCCCCCCGACCGCACAAAACGCCTTTCGACCCCTACCGACCGCCCAGCCACTCGACCACTCGACCGCTCGACCGTTCGACTCGACCCATTTGCCGAGGCGCCGGGGTGTAGTCCTTCTTCAACGTCTCCGCGTCCGCCACCTCCGAGGCCAGCTGGATGGCGATGGCCCTCTGCTTCACCACGAAGCTGCCTACGAAAGCAGCGGGGGAACCTTCGAAAAAGGGCCTCGGGTTTTCCAGGAGAAAAGCAAAGGGAAGCCCCCCCGTGTTTAAAAAGAAGTAATGGGGGAGATGACAAGAAGAGGAAGTGGAGTCCTTCTTGATTGAAGTCACTGGTCACATCTGACATCCAAGAAAGCCATGAATAGTGTGGTTCAAGGGGAACCCACCACTGTCCCAACAGAAATTGCGAGAACGTGAAACCATTTCGGGACCCAATATGTGCCAGGCAAAACTTGGCTGTTCTGGGCCAATTCGTCGAGTTTGCTGGTCTTTGCGAGATATTGAGTGAGTCCCTCCCAGGTGGATTCTATTGCAGGATGTTTTGGCAGCCTCGTGAGTTCCTTTGGCAAAAGATGGAAGGCACTGCCTGAGCAGAAAGGTGGATTTCCAAGGTGCTGAATGGGCCGCATTCACAAACGGTGTTTCCTCCCAACAAGGCACCTAGAATTGGCTTAACATAGCCGCGTGAAACCGGCTTCTGTGGATCCTTCATTTGGGGACAGGTCCACTCGCTCGCCGACCTTTGGTCACGACTCGGATGAGTATCGGAAGTAAGCGGAATGACACATGTGTTTTACAAGTTCGCCTTCAGCAAGTCTTCCAAGGTGTTTGGATGAGAAGTCAGCAAACGAAACGCTTGGCAACGTTTGGGCTAGTCCAAAAAATAGGCAGTCCTGTCTGGAAGGGAAACCAACAAAACCAGTCCGAGACGGACAGTGGGGACAGCAAAGGGAAACCAGAAGGGAAACCAGAAAAGGAACAAAAGTGAAGCAAGAGGGAAACCCAAAGGGACGGAAACCACCGAAATGAAAACCGCAATAAGAACTCCACAGCCAGGACAAACGAAAAAACGGTTATCACCAAAAACGGAAACCAAAACAGGGAAAACCCGTCCTCCCTCTGCAAGCTGAGCGGCGCTTCTTCAAGAGCAACAACGTGGACTCGGCGCTACCTCGGCTTTTTTTCGGCCCGCAGCTTGGGTTGAAACCCACACAGTTCACTCCACTCGGGTGGTTTCCGGTGATACCCTCACTTGGGTGTGGCTCAAAATTAACCGATCGGAGGGGCAAACCGCAGGTTGTGGTCCATGTTTCCACTTACCAGGGCAACCCATTTGGGTACCGGCTTCTTTGAGCCACAGCCACTTCCACTCACCGGAAGGGTCACCTGTGGGAGGGCACCTGGAAGATCTTTTGCGTCTTGTCGGGGGCCCCCCTTGTCAGATGGGAGGAGTGAGGGCAACTCAAGACATGTGACACCAGAACCGAGGTGCTGGTTGTGGGACAGGGAGTGAGGGCAATCATTTGTGAAATACCAACTGACTGAACTCGGCCTTTCATTCTTTGTCAAGCTTCCCAGGCCGGGGAGTAAGACCCATGGAGGGCATTCGGCCATCGAGTTGCCGTAAAGCAACAGCTTACCCGCAAACAAACATGGCACAGTCACCCTTGTCTTTCAGGTTCTGCCCTGCTTGGCGTTTCACGTTTGACTTTCAAGAGAGATGCAGCCTTGACTGTCTCAACTGAAGGCATATTCCCTACTAAGAAACAACTGCAGCTAAAACCGAATCCGGAAGGATTACGGATTGATTCCGTGCCTGGGCTTCCCATAGCGAAATGAACAAACGGAGCAACATAAAACGGCACAAACCACGTCAAGCTCATGCCTCCTCTCCATGGCTGCTCAAAAGGGAAGCCCGAAGCACAGTTGGTTTCTTCAGGAGCCTTGTCGTTTTTTCCGAGTCACCGGCCATTATTGGATCCTCAGGCCGGCCCCGAAAGGATGACGCACAAAACAGGCCTGCAAAATGGAACAAGACAAGCAACAAGAGCGGCCACAAAGCCAAGTACTCAGCAAGCCGCCCAGGCTTCATGCATTCCTCACATGACCAACCAGTTGGTGCTTGTGACTGGTCGCTTTCGTCTGGCGCGGACAGGAATGTCCGCTTCGAGAAAGGAAAGGGTCAGTTTACGCCAACACCTAGATTCTATTCGTCTTGGGTGCAATGGAGGTCAATCCCTTTCCACCCCCTTCTTATAGCGCGCAAGATTCCAAGATGAAACCAAGTGGCGAATGGCCAAAATCTCGTGGATGTCCCCCTGGGTATGGGAGAAGTAATACAAGTCCTTGGCGACGGAAAGGGCATACCAGGTCCCAATGGTCCAACAACATGATCGATAAAGGGCATGCATGAAACAACCCTCTTTACCCCAAACGGAAAGCACAGGCTGATGTCTCTCAAAATGGTGGACCCCCTTATCAAGCCATTGCAGAGGCTCCCTATTTTGAGAAACACCCAGATTGACACCTTTGGCCGACGAAAAACATGACTGGAAATCCAAATTGGGGTCGATTCGCGTCTCGTTCCTTTTGACACGGTTCCTGCTCCTGGTTCGTTTCTCTTCCGTGCGGTTTGGAGGTTCCTGGTTGGCGTCCCTTCCTCCCGGATTCCTCATGGTTCTCACCCGCTCCCGCGTCCACCCCTTAGCCAGAAATCTGGCCCTACAACTAAATCAAATGGCTTGGGACTGCTCCATCTGGTCATCTGCTTGCCCACAGAGGAGTTCTGCCATTCACCCCGTCTGCGCCAAGCGACTGGCACCGGGGCCACCCCATTCTTGGAGCTGCCCTCCTGAGTTGAAGGACTGACCGGGGAAGGGCAAAGGAACTAACTGCGCGTCCTAACCGAAGGCATCGGGAGGGTACATGGAAGATCAAATTCCTCTTCAATGGACCCGTGAAGTAGTAGGAGGAAGGATGAACATGTCCACACGCAAGAAGAATCAGTTGGAGCACTTGGGGAAGACCGACTCAGCTCTGTCGGTTGCCTGCAGAGACTTTGGCACCCAGCTAGTTGGGTGACCTTTGTTAGGATACCCGCACTCCCACTAACCTGGCACCTGACAGGTCCCTTCAAGAGGAAATTGATCTTTCAGGTACCCTTTCCACAGGATGCCTTCGCTTAGTGGGAGGAAGGGTAGAAAAATGTAGAAAACCCGAAGCCCGCCTGGAGCCGCTGCAAGTCGCTCTGCGACCTATGCGAGTCCATTTTTGTTTGAAAGCTTGGGGGTCGATGGGCCCAACTAGGCTTCTGAGTGTTTCAAAGCAGCCTCGGGCCAGGGGTTCGTACCGCCTGGGCTCATTCTTCTTTGGGTGGGAAACCTCGTCACTCTCAACCAACGGCATCTTGTTGCATCTTGTTGCACCTTGATTCGGGAAAGGTTTTGAGGTCCAACCAAACCCCCAAGCGTGAGGGCTCATTTGGGAATGGCTCCATCCAAAACCGAAGAAGCAGCTCGGCACAACATCCAGCCCTTCTGTTTAGCCCTGGTGTTTGATGTCACGTGCTGTCCGAATGCCAGGCGGGGTGTGGTTTTCAGGAACCAAAAGACAACCACCATTCGGGCATTCGGGGTACCCGAACAAAAAACAATCCCAAACCGGATTTTGTGTGTGTGTGTGTGTTTTTAAACTAGGCGCCCCCCAGGAAATTTACCTCCCAACAATTCCCTAGGAAATTTTTGCGACCCCCTCAAACTAGGCGACCCCCCTCCCATTTGGGCGGGTACCTTAACAAACGACGAGCGGACCTCCCCAAACCCACTCGCTCCAAGCCGCATCTGCAGCTTCGAGACGCGCTTCCCTGGCGCTGGTTGTGGGTCGACTCCATAGGTGTCGACTTTTGGAGAAAAAAAAAACGGCGGAGCCCACCGGAACAAAACTATACCAACGGAAAACCAGCGCCATCAGTGCCACCTATGCCACCTATGCCTACCAGCGACTTCTATGGGTTTGCCTTTGGAGGGGACGCCTATCTGCAAGTTTACTTGCGGTCGCCCCGAAGGCGGTCGCGTCAAAGAGAGGTCCTCTGCGTCACCCGTGCTTTCTCCGTTTGACCTGTTGGGAGCCTTGACGAAACATATCTAACCATATGCCCAAATGGAAAACCCAAGAAATGAAGAGGTATGAAGAGGTCGATGCGCTTTGGGAGTGACATCTCACGTGGAATTGCTGGCTGCATGTTCTTCATGACTCAGCTCAGAAAGTCGCCTGCAAACGGACGACTCCAAGTTGATTGTCTTTGGTTGTTTGGCGAGTTGTAAGATTGTTTCGAAGCGGCAAACGCAACGCTGTTGCGCGGGCATGATATTCGATAGATTCCTCTGGCAAAGAACACCCACCAAGCCACGATGCTTCTGCGCAAGCTGCTGAACAATGCGCCCTGAGCTTCATTGCCCCCAGCGGAAAAAAAAGACACTGCTTGCTGCGAAGTGGGACACACACACACACACATGTGCCCAATAAGGCGAAAGATCCTAGAATAAAGCGGACAAGTGAAAGACAACAACCTGACAAACACCAGTGCAATGACAGCCAACGCTCAGCTTGGCCCAAAGGCATGTCGTGGTCGCATGTCGGGGTCTCGCTGCAGCATGCTCGGAGGACCATCAAGATACACCCAACTGTCTGGGGTGAATAATAATCATCAACCTCGATCGACCTAAAGGCGAGGAGGGAAGCCCAAGAATTACAAAAAGGTAGCCTTGAACTGGAAGGACCACCCTGACCCTGCAAGCAAAAATGGGAGCCCAACGGCCATTCATTGAATCATGTTGCTGTAGACTTCATCAAACAACTTACTTCCCTGCAAATTATGCGTGGAATCATTCATTCATGCCAGAGTGCTTGCAGGTTCCAAACCCTTCTGCACCGAGAAATTGACCTCTCGACTGAGCAGGCAACGCCAAAGTGCCCCAGGTAGGAGGCTTCTGACATCGGCTCAAAGCAGACCTAGAGAAGTTCAAACACTAGCGCTTGGTGGCGATTGCCACCAAATGTATGTTGTTTCTGCTTAGTGGGAAGCATCAGCATTTCCCAAGTTCCGGTCTCTCCAGATCCAACCAAGTACAACAAATCCAAGCAAGGAACCTCGCTGGCATCTCATGCAAAGACACGCTTTGCTGGGTTGGTTGATGTTCAACGGGGTTCCCCACCCATCAGCACCTCCGTACTGAATGGAAGCCCATCCAGAAAAGGGACACATATGTTCTGTTAATTTACAATCATTCCGAAACCTAAAATAGGGATCTCCAAATAAAGGACCTACATCATGGGCGAAATCGCTCAGCGCCTTGCGCCCGTGGAGATTGATTGTGCTTTGGTTCTTCTGGTGACATCCTCAAATCCAGAAAGAAAAAGAACGCCTCAAACAAACAACCACACAAACACACAGACACGCACCGTGTTGTCTTCCTTCAAGCCACACACCATTCGTTATTGACATCTCAAGAAGTGTGGCCCCAATAACGGGGGCCCGGGGGGGGGGCCGGGCCCCGCGGGCCGTGCCCCGCGGCCCCGCCTGAGTCGTCGATGACCTGAACCACCTCAAGGTCCAACTCCTCCAAGTTCAGGTTCTGCGAATCCTCGGCTCCCGGCGCTTGCGGAGCTTTCAGCTCATGTCCTTTTTAAGGGAAATAGATGGATATCCCTGGTAGATGATTGAACCAGGTAAACCAGGAATCGCCATCTACTTTTTCTGGCAAAACAATCAAAAAGGACACCTATGTTTCAGCTGACGTTCCCGGCGGGGGGAACCCTTCCTTTCGGTGGGTGACATGGCGTAAAGCTTCTGCTTCCTGTCACCGGCACCTCTTTCCCAAAAGTTTCGAAAGAAAGGGCAAAAAAACAAAACGCTGGTTTCGGGGTCATCATTCTGCAATTAGCAACTAAGATTGCTTAGCTCCCCACGAATTTGTGGTTTGGATTGGAGGTCACGGCTACAGAACGCCGCTACATCTACGCTTCAAATCCCAAGCCACCACTCCAAACCACCAACTAAGGGTCACCTAAATTCCGGGATCCCGAACTAACGCACCCTCATCATAAGGCCCAATCCGAACGGCCGACTTCACCCCGAAGTTGGTCTTTCAAACTCATTGGTGCAGTTTGCAAGGAAAGACATTGGGAGGTGGTGCAGTGGGAAAGCCGTTTTTTTTAAAGAAACTGAAGCGCTTGGTGTTGGTTCGTCTTAGCGTTTCAAGCCCAGCCAGGAAACGGACAAGGAGGTTTTAGGAGAATGGCTGGCAGAAACCCTCGCACGTGTTGGGCGCATTGCCGCATTGACATAACACTCTCCAATTGATGTGTTGAATGGTGAAGATACCACCCAGAGTGCTGAACTGCAACTAAAATGCGCCAAAGTGATGTCAAAGTCAAAAACCGGCAAATGTTAAAAAGCCAAAGTTTCCCAAAACAAGTCAAAACAAGTCAAAAACAGTCAAAACAAGCCCCGGTGTTGAGTCGACTCCCGCGTCTTTCCCGCGGCCCGGGGTGCTCCCCTGGATCCCTTCGCCAAGAAGCCAAGCGCCCGCGAGCGGGGGTTGGGGCGGCTTCCTCGTCGAGGTCCGTCTCAAAGATCTCAGCGTCCTACAGCCGCTGCCGAAATTTCGACTTTTCTCGGTTGACGTTGGGAGCAAAACTTCTCAAACTTTGGCAGTTCAGTGGATTTGGATTTCAACCACTGAACCACCACAGGGCAAGAATGCAAAATGTGTCCCAACAACAACCATGTTTTGGTCCCGCGTGCCAAACCAAAAGCCTCGGACGCGATGTGTGAGTTGGGAATGTGGGAATGGGGAGCCTGCAGACCCCACAAAAGGACCCGCAGTTGACAAGATCCCGGCTCTCAGACTGTTTCGGCACGGCGGGCCAATGTGACTCTGCCATTGCGACATGTTTAACAGTGAGCACACGGATGCGAATCCATCGACAAACATGGAGGCTGTCACAGTCTCTTGAGTAAATTATGGTGTGGCAACGTGGGTGATACTGGGATGGTTGCGAAATCCATTTCGCACCATCTAAGAAACCCTGGTTTCTGATGATGCTCTTGTAAGTACCAACAGCGATTTCTCATGGCTTCAAAGTGGTGCGAAATGGATATCGCAACCATCCACAGTATGGAACATAAGCCTTTCTAGGTCCTCCAGTAGAGCGGTTAGAACAAGGGTACCCGATTTTTTCCTGTAGTCCATTTTGGTCGGGGAACCGAATCTCCCAACCAAAAGAGTTGTTGAAAACCCGGGCGGTTCCTCCGGCCTCGAAGACCGACACCGCGCCGCCCAGGGTCCGGGGCATGTCGCTGTGGATCTCGGAGGCAACCTGCGAACATGCGGACGGGGCTATGGCTCAAAAAAACAAATGAACCATGGTTCAAACTCTGTGGTTTGATCTGTAGTGTATGAACCAACTCTATGGTTTGATCTATGGCTCATGAACCATGACGGCACCTAAACCAAAGATTAAACCCGCGTTTAACGCTTCGCTCTTTAATTTTGAGCCATACCCACGGGAGAAAGTGGGTGGTCGTTGAAGCAGAGATCCCAGCGGGATCTTTCTCTTCAGGTATCCGGCCTTAGAGAGAAGATCGAGTCTTCCGACGGGAATCGGGGGAACTCCAGGGATTTCACTCATATGGGGGGCTCCCTATTGGACAAACCAGTCTTTAAGCCAAGTGCCCGTCTTTGCAGATCCCTGGTTTGTGTGGGAAATTGAATGCGTCCCTCATGTCCTTCCCAGCGTCCACTAGAGGCTACCAATAACTTTGACCGAACTTCGTGGGGGCTTCTCCAAATTGTGAACCCCCCCCCTTGGTGCCTTGGTATTCAAACAAAAACAAAAAACGCAATCAACCAATTTCGGGGACCAACTCCTATTTTGAGAAACACCCGTGAGCCCTTCCTTGACTTGGGCCGAAATCTGGGGCGCACCCAAATTCACATGTTCGGATGAGACCCCAGAACTGGGCAGGAGAATGCAGAAGGGGGGGTTGGGCTTCCACAACTGCCTCATAGGCCGCTCTTAAAGTGCTCCTTGATTCTTTATGCAGTGCCGTAGCCGCTAAGAGCCGCTTTTGGGATTGGGATGGGGCCCTATTGGGAGGCCCGTGACCCCTTGACAACCATAGGATAACAGTAAAAGGTCGCACCAACGGAAGCTTGGCAGGGAACCCGGGTCTTGGGAATGGACGCATGAACCTGTGCATTTCCTTAGGGATGGTTCATAAGAATATTCCCAGAAAAAATATTTTAAGGAGCCTTGAGGCAAGCAAGCAAGCAACCTAGGCAAAGCATAGCCATTCCCTTAGGCAAGCATAGCCATCACACGCACGCACACACAGTACACAAGCCCACCCTCACACACACACAAACAAACAAACACAATTACAAGTTTACACACACCAACACAAAACACGAAAAAACATACCACACAAACAAGCAACCACAAGGGCACACTTTTTGGCAGTCGATTTTGACGGAAAAGTGCCCCCCCCCCCCCCCAAAAAAAAAAAAAAAAATGGAAAATCGAGGAGAAAGAAAAAAAGGGGAAACAAAAAAAACACTGGGGGTCGGGCCATGCCCCTTGATGGCTTAGGCAAACCAAAAGGAATCCCGTAACCACTCATTTTGGGGTCCCCGACTTCCCCATTGAGACAAGAGTCCCCCAAATCCCTTCCCGGGGGAGTAATTACCTCCGGTTTCACCGGTGCGAAAGCCTCGCTCTCCATGCGCACCCACTCGCCGAAGAGGCTCATGGCGCGGTCCAAGCCCCCCATCTGGAAGGCCGTGATGCCTCGGCCCGGGTCCCAAGCCCTGAGTTTCGCACGGGGAAAAGTTGCCATCAGGCGGGTGTCCTTTTAGGTTGGAAATAGATGGATATCCCTGGTGGATGAGAAAAAACCACCAGGTGAACCAGGAATCGCCCAACCTATTTTTCGACCAAGCGACACCTTGCCTCAAAAAGAAGAAACCGGACAAGGACAAGTTGATTGGCACTATCCCGGGCAAGGACAAGTTGGAACCCAGAGGCTTCCAAAGTTGGTGGCACTAACCCAGTTGCACTGTTTGCTTCTGGAAAAAGTTGTGACAAGGACAAGTGGATTGACTGAACCACTAAACCCGGGTTGCTGGCCCCTTGTCCCAACATGTTGAAAAGCAACCGAGGAGTCTGACTTGAACTTGGCAACCAAAACCTGTTGGTCCAAAAACACAAGCGGAAATCAAAGTTGGAACCCAGAAAAAGGTGCAAACATCTCACATGTAGCTAGCCAAACAAACCCAACACACGCCAACACATAAACTTCGCGTTCAACTCCCGGCATCATGTCCATTCCAATTTCATGAACTCCAAACGAATCAGGGCAGGCCTCTTTCAGTGATTTGATCCGGTGTGAACATGGGCCTCTTTCCAACATGGAAGTGGAGGGGGGCTTTTAGGGGTGGGGGTTGGAGGACTCTTAGCCTCCTGCCCGTAGGCCCATAGGTTCTTTCCTTTCTCTGCAAACAAAAATCAGATTCCTCAAGATTCCTTAAAATTCCTCTACTTTGATGAGTGCTTAGTTGGAGGTCTTTCTGTTTGTTAGGATCCCGACATATCCCGACCCAACACGGCCTTATTGCCTTACTTGCAGGACAGGAGAAGGGGGGGTTAAGGGGAAAGGCTTGCGACACCACAGCGCATCCTATGATTTGTTGGGAGGGTAGTGCGGTACCCGATTCAAAGGGTCCAAATACAAGGAAGTGTTTCCAAAGCGATTCACTCCCCCGAAAATGAAAAGAGGGACTCAATACAGGGGGCAGAAGAGCAGTTCCTTGTCAACTCTTGGACAGCCCTGGTCTTCGCCCAGTCTCCAGCAGGCTACCCAACACCACAAACCCCCACATCAACAGCACACCAACAACACTACTCAATAGAGAAAAGGCTTTTCTCCTTCCCCTCCCCCAAAGCCTTTCCCAACTCGCCTTGGCTTTTGGATCTTTGCAAACTATGCCCTGGCCGCCAACGTGCCAAGTCTTTACAAGTTCTTTCTGCGCAGGTGCCCGACAAACAATTCTCCAAAAGAACAGTACAGCCAAGAAGCCCCTGATACTGAATTGTGAAAAAGAACGAAGGGTACTCAATAGACAAACGGAATCCGGAATCTCCTCGTCCAATTCCAAAAGATACGGGAGCAATATCAACCAATTCTACTCAGGAGGGAAGAGGAGACCGCAAAGCACCGCTACTAAACCAACACACAAAGGAAAACTAAACCAATGCCTAACCAATACTAAACCAATACTAAGGCAGCACTGACCAATACTAAACCAAAACTAAGCTAATACTAAACCAATACTAAACCAATACTAAGTTTACGGCAGCACGAAGCAGTGCTAAACCAACACTAGTCACTAAAACAATACTAGCGAATACCACACTTGGAGGAGGCAAATGTGATTCAGCGCTTTTAGGCTACAACCCACCTATAAGTGCCCCCAAGTGGGGGGTTAAACCCGACGATAGTGGGTTGTCACATGTTGTCACCGAAGCGGCTACTTCACTTGGCAAGGAAGTTGCAATCCAGCACACTCAGCTCGCCAGGACCCCGCGCTTGGCTGGATCAGCGGATTGCCATCCACCAGGAGCTCCTCCAACACTCCGCCTGAAAAAGTCCCATTCCGCCGGACATTCACCCACTGCCCGTGTGCCGCCTTAAGGGGCTAAGAGCGGCCCCTCATGAAATCCACCAAGCCCCGAGAGCAAAGTCTCGAAAGCTTTCAGGGAATCGCCTCTGTGCCAATAGGAACATGCGAGGCATGATGCCCAAGGTTGCCCATCACCCCCTGACAAAACCATAACAACCACACCTCGCTTCCTGAGTGGCCCAAAAGAGTCTGAACCCAAACGGTTCAACTGCCAGCACATTGACCCAAAAAGTATCAAGTCCGGCACCTCTTGTCGGATTGCTCCGGGCCAAAACGTGACAGCAATCCGAAGGATCAGGTCCGGAAAGCTCGCAAACTAAGATGCCCACTCACATGAATCGTAATCAAATCCTAGTATTAAGATGGACTACCCAGAACCATGTAAAGAATGAATAGAAGGCGCCTGCACCCATTTATCTTCCACTTGCTTAAGCCCCCTGCAGTAGTGATAGATTCCCCCGTTAAACCAACAGAGGTAAAAAAAAAAAAAAAAAAAAACATATTCTTAAACAAATGGAAGTTATGGCTAACCGTCTACCCGAATCGGTTTTGAGCACGTGGCTCACCAGTTGGCGAAGCCGAAGCCGAAGCCGAAGCCAATCCGCGCCTTGCTGCTTCCAAAGCTGCAGCAAGCTATGAGGCATCACCTCATTCCCGGATTCATTTGGCTGGAACCAGGCAAAGGCATCCCTTTGGGTTTTCGAAAAATTGGTTGTTTGTGTGTTTGCTTGCTTGCTTGCTTGTGTTGATGTGAGTCTTTGTTTGTTTGGTTGGTTGCATGGTTGGTTGGTTAGTTGTAGTTGCTTGTTTATTTGCTTGCCTGCTTGCTTGTTTGTTTGTTTGTTTATTTATTGTTGTTTGTTTGTGTCTGTCTGTCTTGCTATTTCTTTGTTGTTATTTCTTGTTGTTTTCTTTCTTTATTTTTTTATTTCTTTCTTTCTTTCTTTCTTTCGTTCTTTCTTTATTTGATTGCTTGTTTGTGTGTTTGTTTTGTTTTGTTTCGGTTTACTTGTTTTGTATGTTGTATTTTGTATTTGGTATTGTGTATTTGGTATTTTGTATTTTGTATGTTGTTTGCTTTTTTGTGTGTGTTCTTGTTTGTTTGTTTGTTTGTTTGTTTGCTTGCTTGCTTGCTTGCTTGCTTGCTTGCTTGCTTGCTTGCTTGCTTGCTTGCTTGCTTGCTTGCTTGCTTGCTTGTTTGTTTGTTTGTGTGTTTGTTTGTTTGTTTGTTTGTTTGTTTGTTTGTTTGTTTGTTTGTTTGTTTGTTTGTTTGTTTGTTTGTTTGTGCTTGTTTGTTTGTTTGTTTGTTTGTTTGTTTGTTTGTTTGTTTGTTTTTTGCTTCCTTTGGGTTGTTTGTTTCGTTGCTTCTTTGTTTCTTTCTTTGCGGCATGGTTTGGTTGTTTCTTTGCTTGTCTGTGTGGCTTCCTTTGCTTTGCTTTGACTTTTTTCTCAGTTGATTGGTTTTGCTTTGGCTATTTGCTTCGTTTGGCTGTGTTTGCTTTGCTCTGCTTGCTTGTTTGCTTGCTTCTCCTCAAAGAGGAGAAGCATCTAGGAATTCACAACAATAGCTCGATCAGGTTGACGATCCGACACTTGAAGAGGATCGAATTTGTGGGAAGCCGGACGGGATAGATTGTTTAAGGCTGCCCTTCATAGCGCGCTGCATGGATAAACCAGGGGTAACCAGTTAAACAAACATGGACAGACCCCAAAAGGGCTCCCTGGTTTTCCGTCGCCAGGGTCAGTTCTCAAAAATAATGCAAAGCCTTTCATACCTGGGGTCTTGAAAGCCCACGCGACCAGGTTTTGGGTGAGAGGAGGCCCGATCCAAATCTGCACGCGTAGAATTAGTGGCAACCTGGAGGGAAACCACAGGAAACCACGCACCGCGTTGCTACCTTGTCACTTAACTTGATCGTCTGGAGGCTGGAGCTAGCCTGGGCAACTTCCCCATTCCTTAAGGGATTCCTCGTTCATGGCTGTCTTTTCTCGAAAGCTGGGCGCTCCAACAAAGTCACTTTGCGTTGATTCGCTTTAGGTGAGCAAGTTGTTTCAAGGGCGAAAACGATGCAGATGCGCCGATGCCACTTGTGCAACCAAACTGCGGTGATGCTGTTGGAGACCACACGAATCTTCTCCAGCAGGCGGCACTCCTTAGCTCTCTGATCAAATCTTCTCGGGCTGGGTGCTCAATAGAGGCCAGGACCCCCCGAACCTCCAGTTCCATGTTGATTGGTGGGAGGGTACCCTCCACAAGACCCAGCCCCTGCAGCACATCATGTGGCACATCTCCAAATATTAAACTTAGTGGACCCTTTGGTCAACCAGTAGTGTCTGCCTCTTCTCTTCGGAGTGGGTCTACCCTTCACCAAAAGCTTACCAAATTAAGACCCAACGAAGAGTTGGAGGCTACCCATGGTTTCTGGGTCTACCCTCTGACTTGGTGGGAGCCGAAACTTGGAGCCACCGGCCGCGCCGATTCGAGGCGCCCCGAGGGTCTCCGGCAGCGCCGTGAGGGCGTTGAAGGAAGCGCTCAGCTTCCGGAGGCCCTTCCTCGAATTGCGCCGCCCCGTGTAAACGTCGACGTGCATCGACGTGTTTCTAGAATAAACAAGCTCGGTTGCTTTCTGCTCCCCTGCTAAAAGTTTAACCTTTAGCCGTTCAATGGAAAACCCATTAGTTGGCATTAGTTGGCAAAAATGTAAGTCCTAACATCCAAGCAAAATGCACCAAAGCAAGTATGTGTATACATACCTATATATATACAATTTGCCTTCCAAGAACTAACATGTGTGCTACTCTTGTACTGAAATCAGGTAAGACCATGTATGATACATGTGTAGATGTCCATAAACATGAGTGTGCAAATATATATATATATAGAGAGAGAGTGAGATATACTACTGTTGAACGCGAGAAGGAAGGATCTTGAAAACGCAAGCTGAGTCTGGCAATGTGATTTCAAGTAATGTATACATCTTATATTATATAAATATGTATACGTTTATACGAACCCAAGGCGGATGCCTTTGCTTCATCCACCCCTTGGAGTGATGCGTGTTTGCGACTGCCAGGGCTCAGCTCGCCCAAGCCGTCGGGGAGCTTCTCTAGCTCGTTGTTGTTCACATTCAGTACCAGCAGCCTTCGAAGACGACGACTCCAAGTCCCCTGACCCAAAAGAAGGCCTACCTCCCTCACAAACTACCCTCACAAATGGGGCAGTTGCCCCAGATGTCCCTGCATGCTTGAGGCTCCAGGTAACCGTCTTGTAGGTTTACTGGAAAAGCCAGCTCCAAAAGGTCTAAGACGCTGTTGGGGTCACACCCAAGACCAGCCAAGAAACATAAGCCGAGGTGCCCAGGTGGTATCCACACCGCACTTACCCGGACCCCTCCGCAACCCTCCCCTGAAGCTTCGCCGACGCAGAGGGGCAGGAACCCAAAATCTTGGGGAAAACGACAACGCGAGGATCTGCGCGCCCTTTTCGGAGTTGGGAAACCTGCTCGTACAAATTGGGTCAAAGGGAAAAATGGAGGAAACTCACCATGTGTGTGTGTGGTTTTTGCCTGAAACTAGGGGGTTGGAGGGAGGTAGGATATGAGATTTGAAACAAAAGAACCCTCGAGAATGGCCCACCCCACCGATTCCCTGTCCTGCGGCATTCTGATACATGAACCACCGAGGTCAACGACCGGTCCCAAATCTCAAATCGGGTCTCTCTTGTTTCTGAAGCAATCTGGAGGCGGAGGTGCTAGAGTCAGCCAAGCAGCTTCGAACACTCCAGGATGCTGTCCGGCAGCGCAAAAAGCCTCAATCCGCAGCGGAACAAGCACACACAAAGTACTACACAAGAAACGTAAACACACCCATCTGGGCGAAGTACTATCATTCTTAAATCTTAAAATACGTATTCCCCAAGTAAGGAACCAACATCATGGGTGAGCTTTCATCCCCAGGTGAGCTCTTTATTAGAGCTGCAGGTTATCATCAAGGAAATCTTAATGTATCAATCTACCCTCACTCCCACTGATATGAAGGCTGGCGGAGTTTCCGTTTGAGGGGATGGACAAACGGGCGAGTTAGTGGGGATGTGTGCTTCACCGATTCATGCGTCTCTACGCACTCTTTTGGGGCTTATTCGCATCTGTTCAGATGCAATGGCTCAAAGTTTCAAAGGCCTCCCGTTTGGAAGGTGCCAAGGACCCCACGGGTTTCAATCCCAGCAATGGCCTTCCAGGAGGTCCGTCTGGGAGCAAAATGGGAACCAGTCGGGAATGGAACCCCATGAATCGAAGTTTCACCGGTTTCGGCCACAAGGCTCCCAGAGGTAGCCAGAGAAACTGTTCAATGTCGACCCCGGATTTGCAGCAACTTCTGGTTGACTAGGGTTGTTCCCCCTTTGAATCCGGATCACCTGTGGGTGGGTGTGTCAATCCCCATTCCCAGGACTCGCTGCATGTTTTCCTTTCAGGATGGTTTTGAACATCACATGGCTGTGGGTCAAAAGCCTGTACCCCTGGTGAACACCAAAACAGGTGGTACATGGGTGTTCATCCGCCCCAAAATGGAGGCATAGGTTATGACCCATGGCCACATGTTTGGCCCATAGCTCAGCTTCCCTCAAGTATTGCTAGGTTGGAAAAAAGCGGGAACCCTGACAGTGCCCAGGCACCAAGACTACCATTAAGAGACTCGAATAGGCTTAAGAACATAGCTGGGTTTTTGGAAAACTAGATGGCCCTGGGCAATGGAATAGACCTCATCTAAACCAGTGCCACATACAAACCTCTGCTTGACCAGTCTGTACCTGAACAGGTAGTACCTGCTTAAAGCAGAGTGCTTCATAGTGGGGGAACCCCAATGATATGCCTCGAGGGCTTGTAACCATGTGCAACAGTAGACAACCGGGGTTGCTATGCACTTACTGCCGTGACCTGCTGCATCAAGTAGTAACCTCGTTGGCTCCCTTCGTCGCTTGAACAGGGCTGATCCATGCGAGGAAAGGCGTTCCAAAGACGGCATAGTTTTGCCTCAAAAAAGAGTTCGGACCCCCCAAGACAGTTGGCTTTCTTGTGCTTGCGGATTCAAACACCCAAGAATTGGTACCCCAAACAGCGAATCGGAACCCCTAAACAAAAATGACACACCCACACGCTCAGATTGCGTCTCTCACTTTCCCGGGGGAAAAGCAAAACCAAGACCAAGAAAAGTGGACTTTGGGCTGCTCAAGAAAGAAACGAAGAAGGGGATCCTGCATGATGATCCTGCGCAACATGTTGTTCAGCCCCTAAAGCACAAGGGGAAAACGAGGTGAACAAACACAGCAGGCTTGGGGTTGCAAAACCCCAACCCTGGTTGCTATTTACAACCCCAAAGTGGCTCTCAAAATGAGATATGTCACTGGCACCTCTAAAACGACAAGAGCTTCCTTTTGGTTACCCTCAAAACCAAAGGTGTCCGCAAAATTGGCGTGTCCATTTCACTTCTTCCCAAATCGTATAGCATAAGCAAAACCTGGGAAGTGAGTTGATGAAACCCTCGAAGCCGATGACACCTTGTACCGATTTCAGTGGCAAAAGCATGAAGAGATTCTCACCCCGAACTGACAGTTGCCAGGGTTTGCATGGTTTCAGGGCCTGCTTTATCTGGTCATTGGACACCTCCATTTTGCTCGCCTTGGTGAGTGGTCCCCTGCTTTCTTGCTTATCCCTCAAATGAAACCAAGCCACCGAGCACTGCTGGAGAAAGTCTCTCGGCATTGGAACCGCCGGATGGGGATGGGCTGGGGAGATATGGGGTGTTGCTTTTCTTGGGGGATGTGCAGATGTGTCTCAACATGGGTCCTTTAACCCCTATGGATGGTTTCCCTTAGCTTCCACTCAAAAAGGGGCTACCCTTCCCCCTATCAGGTGTGATGTGAGTGGGAGGTAGGGCAACTCAAACATGTGACACCCTCAGAACCGAGGGGCTGGTTGTGGGACAGGTCCAGGTATCTCAGCTGGCGCGCATTCTGCGCAAAGTCCCCCGGCAGGAACGCCAGCTGGTTCCGCGACAGGTCCAAGACCTGCGCGCAGCGACGCGCACAGAGAAAAGTCCCGATCGATCGATGGCTTTCCATTTCTACCCGCAAGGACCAGGGGTTCAAGTCCCCAACAGATCAACAAACTGCAAGGGGTTCAAGCCCCCAAAAGATCTAACTGGATGTAGTGGTTGTCTCCCTCCAATTGAAGCGGCTTCTTCTCTTGACCCACACATGTTTGTCACCAACAAGGCGCCCATGCACTGAACCGAACTGGGGCAGGCCTCTCAGATTCTGGGTTCCAAATGACTAAATCAGATTCCCTGTAACTAAGTGGTTAGGGCTGCTTTGGAGGTGAAAAGGGGTGGGGTTCCAATTGGGCCGCAAGAACCAGGGGTCCAATAAACATCAAGCAACAAGCTTCCAAGGCGTGCTTTCTGGCTTTCACCCACTGGGCAGGCAAGTGTTGCCCTTCTCACTTTGTCAACATCATGTCGGTTGGAATCATCTCAATTCATCGGAGGCCCTCCGTCCCAGAATCACGAAAGTTGACAGGTGCTTGGAAGACAACTTTCATTTCGGGGAAGCCCCTCTGTCCGCTTCCATTCTTGGAAACTCCCGTCCACGGGTCTTGGTGGGGTATCTGGTTAGTAAGCAATTCCGGACCCCCTATTGGGCAACTCTTAGCTGGGCTGTCCTCAGATCGCCTGCTAAAGGTGACTAACTTCAGTGGGTTAAATTCAGAAATCCAACCCGCCTGGGCCGTGGCTTTTTTGTAGCCGCAACCTCACATGAAATGAACTGGTGGTTTGCTTTTGGTTTCCTTGAAAACCATATATACTTGTCTTCTGCCTTCCTTTTGTTCCTTGAAATTCCCATCTGCTTTTCTTCTGGCTTTCCTCGAAAACCGAACAAGGGGCCAACTCCAAAAAGACGAGCCGCCCAGCAGATCGCTCGAGAACGCGCCTGCAGGCTCGCCACCAAGGAACCAGCCAGCGCGCCTCACTCGGGGCACCCGTAGTAAAACACGGGGGCAGCTGCTCCCCCTCTGTGAATGTAGGCATACCTATACAGATACATGTACATATATATATATATATATGTATACATATACGTATGTATATCACGTGTGCATGTGCAAAAATAAGACATGTGCATACACGTGGCTAAAAATAGACATAAATACTCCGATCTGTATACACAGATGTGCCTACATCTACATCAGGGATCCTAAGATTGCTACGTCAAGTAGGGGGAGGTGCACCTTTAGAACGGGACATATGAGCCACGGTCACAAAATACGGTGGCCATGATGTCCCGGCCCTGTCTTTGCGGGACATTCATTGACTCCCCCTATGTCCCCAACCCCAAATTGACCATAGACTCTGACTGATAGATTTGTGCGAACCTCATGCGAGGAGCAAGATGACTTGTTGACGCAAAATGACATGGACACAATGTCCCGCTTGCACTTGTGCTTGGAATTTGCCCCCCCCCCCCCCCTCGCCCTTCCTAAACCAGGAGTAGATTGCCAATAATATTGTAAGTTGCTCATGTACTTGAAGGGGCAGGATACTTCGAAAGTGCTTAGTAGTCATGGTTGTCACCTAGTGCACAGAAAATTACAACCATTGCAATTGATTTACAACCCAAGTAACTTACCACTTATTGACAACCCTGACATGCCTGCTTCTCTAGGTAGAGACTTGTCCACGACCCTTTGTTGGTTGGCTTTATAGAACCAAAGGAAAGCTGGCTTCTAGCCCCCATGTCAGCTCCCATGTCAGCTATAGGGAGCTGCTTGTCCCTCTCAAACATTGACACACACCTGGGATACAAAACATCTCTTTCAGATTATGGACCATATGAGGAGACCACCCCGGATGGTTTCAAGGGAAACCCTACAAAAACGTTCTTCTAGGAACATACATATTGGCTATAGTTTCCCTGTCCCTTACCTCTCAAAGCCCCCTTAGGCGGGTATGCGTCAAAATACGGGGACCCCAAACAATTATGTTCTTTTTGATTTCCCATTTGAACCAACCCCAATCACATATTGTTTCAGGCCTTCGCAAACTAATAGAAACTATCAGTGACTAGGGGCAATTTAGCGTCATTAAGGGCCGTCACCCTCCCGTCGCTCCCCTTGTTCTGGGTATTTCACCCTACCTAATTGGTGGTTGTGGTTTGGACGTTACGGAGCATCTTTCCCAGTTTGCTTGAAAAGGAACTAAGCTCAAACCACCAACTGAGGGTTACCTGGGTGGAGCAACGGGTACCCTCAAAGGATATGAGTGTGTCTTGTTTTGATGCTCGGCTCCCTTTTGCGGGTTGTCGTACAGGGAAACCAAAAGAAAAGCCCAACACATGCTGTTGTTGTTTTTTTTGTGGGGGAGGGGGAGTCCCCTACAAAAAGACCGAAACCTGTTTTTTCCAACCCGCCCGAAAACCGAAGAAACCCAAAACCCGCCTGGCTCGAGCACCTGCAGCTTGTTCCGATCGCACACCAAGGTCTCCAGTCGATACCTCCAGCCGAAATTCCATCGGCTCACCCGAAACACACAGCTCTGTTGCCCCGCGACGGCACTGAGTGAGCGACATGTATACTATACAAAACTGCCTATGAATATGTGAATATGTGGACATGTGTATAGACGTGTACGAATGCATGTATATATATATATGTATATATTATGTTGATTCATTGAATGGACATATATGTGCATGTGTGTATGTTTATATATATATATATGTGTATATGTTAATATTAGATGTGTAATTATACACATACGTAGACATATACATATAAATACATGTATAAAAGTATGCATCATAGATGTGTATTGGATAGTTGATGTGTATTGGATAGTTTGCAATGCACATCTATGCATTGGGTGAGGTATTGAGTATGCTAGTCCTTCCCGAACATATGCCCCTCAATGACCCGATCTTGAGCGCCCGTGAGCACAAGGGGGGACCCTCTTTGGGGTTGTTTGAAAGAGAACCTCACACAAAACAACCGCAAACCGTTGGGGCAGACTGAGATAGCTCGGTTGCTTTCTGCTCCCTGCTAAAAGTTTAACTTTTAGTGGTTTAATGGGAACCCCATTAGTTGGCAAACAGTTAAAGTCCTAACATCCCTTGGCAACATGCGCCAAAGATAATATCAACCCAGGACCAACAACCCTCGCGGAGTAAGAAGGAGGAGGGCGTTCGCCCCAAAACAAGAAAAGTGAAGGCCCTCTTCTGTGGGGCACACCAAACGAATCAACCAGGGGTTTTGCTCATCCTGCGGATTTTCCCTCTTGGGGAAACAAAAGTGATACCACTTTCGGGGATCGGTCTACCTCTTTGAAGAGAAGTACAGATAAAAAGAGAAATCGAATACTCCAAACACTCATCGCTTTTAGAGGGATCTCCTTTTTAGGCGACCCCCCCCTTGGGGTTCTGCTATTTGTGTTGGAAGCCCAAACCCTTCAGCTGAAAACTCCTCCAGGCCAGCGGCGGCTTCTCGCTCTGCTTGGCCCGGCTCAGGCCTCGGAAAAACCGGAAACGGCGGAATTCAAAGGCGGATTTCCTGCAGATGGGTATGAATCTCAACTGGACATCATTGATACATAAGGATTTGGACCCATCTGTAGATTTCGCTTTGGTATTAACCAGATGGTGGGAGGGTTGAGAACTGAGTAGTTGACCTGGGGGGGAACAGGGCGCGGGGGCAGGAGAGGGGGGTTGACAACTGCTCGTAATATGAATCTTAGAAGGGACAACCCTTTGGTGGACATCATTGACACAGGGGATTTCTGTCCACCAACCACTTTTTGACGGGGTTCTATATTAAAATTTGCCAGGGAAACCAACTGGTACACCGAAGCTTAAGTTGGGATCCCCTAGTTTGAGACATACATGAGAATGCAGGAAAATAACTCGCTTCTCCACAGTGGGAAAATGGGGGTTGTCCCTGTTTCGTTTTGCGGGAAATTTGGCTTGTTCCCCACGTCCTCACTTTGTACTGAAAGAGTACTACAAGTGGGGCAAAGAACTGGTGGAAGCCTCGAAAAAGCGCAGAAAACCACACCCAAAGAATGCCAACCAATTCACGCATGGTTGTCAAGTGGATAACAAAAACCTTGATACCACTTTCGGATGCTCATCCCCATGCCTACTCTATCGCTTCAGTGAGCCTTCCGGCGTCTGCCAGAAAATACGCCAAACACCTCAATTCCCACAACAATGCAAGACAACGTCAACAACCATGCAGAAACGATGACATGCTGCACAAGCAAGAATCGAGTCAAGAACCAACCAGTGCGAAGCAAGAATGCAAATCAAACCTTCAAAGAGCAAATACAGTGCACTGAACCGCAAGACCTCACACGCACACACTCGCACACACGCACACACACACACAGCAAACAGCAAACAACAAACAACACACACCCGCACACCTACCCACACACACACCACTGACGCAAGACTCGCGCGATTTTTATCTTGCAAAACACGGAACAAAGCAAAGCATGCATTGCTCGAGGGTCTAGACCCCCAATCCCCGAGCCTGCCCCAGGTTACGACGCCTTCTCAAAGAAAGAAAAACAAGGAAAATTGAGGGGCATGATGGCCCTGGGAAAGCACGGTGCCCATACTGAGAGGTACCGAATTGTTCACGGGGGCTTCCCAAGGTCACAGTGGCCTCTCAATTTTTTGGAGAAGGCGCGCTTTTTTGGGGGAGCCGGCTAAATCCAGAGGACACGTATCCAGAGTTCCGAATTGCTCTAAGATGACCTCCACTATCCCCAATCAAGTGCCCCTCACGGAAAACGGGATGTATTAACCCTAGAAAAAGTTTATCTACGTGTGTATATACCAAATATTTACATAATATATATATATATATGATACCTGATAACTGGGATAGCCACCCCAAAACAAAAACAAACAACGTTTGCACAGAAAGACGGATGCTTCAAGGGAAGTTGTGCTTGGTTTTCTGGGCGGAGGGGGCACATGTCTATAGCTATAGTAGTTTGCCTGTCGTTTGGACACAGCCAAAGCACACCACCGGTCACCCCGTTGCGCGCATGGCCCGAGCGGCGCGTGAGCTCGTTCCGCGACAGGCGCAGCACCACCACGTCGTGCATCTCGCTGAGCGGCGGCTCCTCCGCGCGAGAAACCCGAGAAGCAAAGGTCGGGCTACTGTGGATGGACGAAATCCTGCAACAGGTTGAAACCTTGGGAAGCCATTGTTGGTTGGTGTTTACAGGGGAATCGAATCATTCATTATTATTTTTTTAGTGGTGCAGGATTTTGTCCATCCACAGTAAACATGCTTCGACAAGAGACGGAAAGGTCAGGCCAGTAAGCAAAACTGTAAACCGCATCAAAACCGATGGGTATTAAAATGGTTGGGACCCAGAACTTTCTTTCTGCTTTTTGGCTGGGACTCAGTGACTAGGTGTCCGGCTTTTTTTTGGCTGGGACTCAGCTGCAGGTTTCCAGTTTTTTACTACAGACTTTCAACCCAGTGGTGGATGTCCCAGGGAAACTGCCGGAAAGTCTAGGCAGAAACCTGGAAGCCTGCTCAGGCAGATGCGCTTTGAGGAGTGTTGTGCCCTGAATAACAGCATCGGTACATGGTACCATGCGTGTACACGATAGCTCGCATCATGTTCCTTGTTGCCCTACTCAAGGGGCAGGCTACTTAGTCAGTGGCGAGCAATCCTACACTCGCATGGCAGTTGGAATAAAACTGTAACCTGTCGCTTTACCTTCAATTGCCCGGAGTCACGAGTGATTCCGCGCCTCCTTCATCTTGCATTGGATGATCCTGGGTGGGGCCCCGATTTTCGGGTCTAAAGCACAGTTTCGTTGTACGCTCATGAAGAGCCAACTTAGGTGGAGCTTTGGTTGGGGTTCACAAGGGACACACTTACACAAGGGAGGCCAAAGGGAAACTGTGTCATTGTAGGGGGATCGATTCCTTGTTTTGAGCAGCACCCATTGGTTATTCCGAGCTTCTGACGAGTGGAAGGGCAAGCGCAACCAACTTGTTCCTCCTACAGGTGATGTATACACTAACCACCCCAAAAAGGTGATTAATTCAACTACGTCGTGCAAACAAGGCCAACAAAGCGGCCCAAATAAGACTTTAATCCTTTGGGAGAGGATCTTGTTGAAGGTCGTTTGTGGGGAAACCGAGTCCAGCTGCAAAACTTGGCCAAGTTTGTGGGAAGATCCTTAATCAAACTCAGTCCGGCCTTCCCCACAAATTGTTTCAGTCGCGGCAAAAAAAACAAAAGGCCCAGGCAACCATGGCTCTTCACCCCACCCAAATCATAAGGTTCTGTGGTTTGCCTTTTTGGCAGGGGGTGATTCAGCCTCCCCGCAAACCTGCCAGACTCCCCAAATTGTTTCCGGTCTTTATGGGGCTCGCCAAGGAGATTGCTCCCAACGAGCAACGAGCAAACGGCGCGAACACGAGCCTTTTGCTGGTTTAAGACGACCGTTTGACAGAAATCCATTTGTAAACCGGCTTCAAACGATTTGAAAAAAACAAAAAAGACTTTAGTGATTTTTTCAAGGGCTCCCCCCCCCCCAACAGGGGGCCCTTGGTGTCGGTCAATTGGTCGACCGGTCGATCGGTCACGCCGGTCCCTCCGGTCGGGTCTCGCCAAACTTGGTTGACGTTGGAAGGAGCAACAAATTAAATTTTAGCAGCTAAGCAGGGATTTCCCACTAAACCACAATAGGCAAAAATGTAAAATGGTTCCCAAACAACCGCGCAAAGGCGCTCCACGGTGTGCACGCTCACCGCCGCCAGCTTCTGCGCCATGCCCGGAGGCACCTCCCGACGCTGCACGCGGATGCCGTCGAACTGGCGCCGGATCAGCTCCTGGCAGAAACGGACCTCCAACGGGTCCAAAGATGTCAGTCATACTGTGGATGGGTAGCTTCTGGGCTGTCCGTTTTGCTGATCTGCTAAAAGGGACTCACTTGTAGTGGGTGAAATTCGGAAACCCAACCACTAAGCCAACCAAAAGGCTGAAAAGCTGAGAGCCACCAAGTCAGATTCTGGTTGGGATACCCTTTTTTCTGTAGCCTATTTTAGTAGGGGAACCCTCCCCAAAAAAAGAGTAAAAGAGCATTACTAGGGGACCTAGATGAACTTGACAACCCCTTGGAAGAGAAACCTGCTTTGTGGCTAGTCAACCTTACTATATATATATATATGTATATGACCAGGCTTAAACGATGCGACTTAGATCCCACTGAAGGGCGAAAGGTTCTGGGGGAAGTTCTGACGTCAAAAACCCTGAGGCTCAACTTCTCTTGGCCTTGTGTTGAGTATTCCCCCAGTTGAACCTTCCGTTGTTGGCATCCAGATGGGGAGTTTTCCTTGCCCACCCCGAGCTAGGATTTGTTTTTTTGGAACCGGAGTCCACCCGAGCTTCAGTCCCCCTTCTGAGACTGCGATTCAGTTGGTGGAATCCACTCCCTTCAAAAATCCCAAGATGTATTCGAATCCCAAGCCATAGGATGCATCCATCAATCAAGCTGCCGGCGCATGCCTTCTCCCCCCCTTCTCTTGGAGCCGCGGGTTGCCTTCGGGTCGGCCTGTTATCAGCTTCAACTTCGCCCAAGGTGCGGCAGCCCACACCCCCCGAGTCATACCGAAGCAATATCATTCACCTTGGGGACTGGCAACGACCCCAAAACATCCAATGCCCGGCAAGGGAGTTCGTTTTCAAAAGGGTGCCAACGGGGGTCCAAAAATGTCCAAGGAATTTCAATTTTCTCCAACCCTCCAAGGGAAAACCGCCATGGTTAAAACTCACCCCAAATCTCTGGTCATTCCCACGACTACTTTGTCGCTTTGAAGAGGGCTTACTTGGGTGCCTAAATCCCAGTCCACAAACTCTCGTCACCTCTCGTCCGATCCCCCTTGTGCAGGCCGCTACTTGACAGGCCTTACTTAGGTCCTGTTGCAATCCCCTAGGGAAGGAATCTCACATTACTTCCTCTGTCTATTCCTTACCAGTCTTTCCAAGAATCCAGATAGTTAGGTAAGGAATAGGAAGAAATAGACAAATATAATGAAAGAGAAATAGACATGAATGTTCACGACTACAAATAGAAAAACATAAAGTAAACACTAAAAAGAACACTAAAAACTAAAGAAATAATATGAAGTAATAAGAAAGTGAATTAGAAGACAAGATAACAGTAAACAATAATAAACAAAATATCTAGAAATGATTAAGAAGTAAATAATAGATGTCATTATATACAGAAAGGTTCTTGAGTTATCATCTCTGGATTTCTATTTCTAAGACTATTTATTTTCGAGTTTACTAAATTTATAATTGTTTTGTCTTTATGTTTTCTATTTTATATTATTATTGATCTTGTGTTTTCTATTTTATTCTCTAATATTTGTTTAGTTTGTATATGTTATTATCTTATAATTATTTCTTCAAATTGTCGTAATAACTCATGTAACATCTTCATGTTTTATCTTTTTGAGTATTGTTTCTTTAACTTTTCTAATTAATCAATATGTCTGTGTTTTAATATCTATTCCTACTCCAGTATGATTAACCTCTGGTATATGTCTATCTTAATCTGTAATCTCTTGTCTTTTACTTTCTGGGACTTCCCTTATCTGGTTTTATGTTTGTATTTTCAATGTTGGGAAGTGCTTGAATGAAAGTAAACTGTAAAATAATTCTATTTGTAGAGTGTGTACCCCGTCCCTTCCGTGTCCGGGCTCGTTCCTTGAGTGCTTACTACCTTGGAAGAAGCGCGTGTCCTGTCCTTTCGGTTTCTTTGACACACCTATGAATGAAGGATGAAGAAATCTTAGACAGATGATGGAATTCTTCCCCACCAGCCATTTCTCTCTTCTTGGCTGGTTATATTTCCCTTTGTCTATCCCTTTCTTGCTCCTGTCCATGTCCTTTCACCCAACCACCATTCTATGCTGTAGTGAAAGGCATGTCCCTTCTCTTTTTCATGTTATCTCTCTGTTCATTCTGGATTTTGGTCAGAAATTATTAATAAAAATCCAGAAAGAGATAACATATGAAAGAGAAAGGAAATAGAGAGTGATGACAGTCGCTTCTCTCCCTTTCTCATGTTAGGATTATTCCAGCATACTAGTCCTAATGCTGGAGAATCCATAGGTGCTATCACTTCATCTCTTTTCTATTTTGGATGTTTGTAAAGATGAAGTGATAGAGGGAAGAGATATAGCGATGTGACCGCTTCATTCATGTTCATTCATTCGGTCACTGTAATCTATTCCCTTGCTGTTCCTTGTGTTTTGGTTTCACGGTTGACCCTGAGGACTTGGTTTTTACGTCGTGCGAAAGGAAGATTGCTGACCCGCCATGACAAAGAGGCGGGACAAAGAGACGAGAAACAGAGGTGAATGGGTCCCTTCCCTTCCCATCACCGGCTTCCTTCCCAGGGTTGCCTCAATTTTCCTTGATAGAACCTCCAACAGTGGCAGTTTCAAGGGAAAACACCTTGTAATTGATCAACTTTTGAAGCGAAATCCAGTGACCCCTACCGCTTTGAACCTTTTCGGCATCTTTGGACCTCCCAAATGGCTTCGTTTTCCCTCTTGGCGTCCCTTTAAAGCTCTCAAAAAACATCAAAAAGCGGGGCACCGACTCGAGCCCATCTCCTTTCCAACTCGGGACTCCACCACGATTGGGGTCCGGTACTGCACCCAGTTGTTGCCCAGCCGGGTGAAGCGAACGGCCGTCTTCTGCGCCGGATTGTAGTCCTCGAAACAAAACGCCCAAATGGAGGTCTCATGTTCGGGAAAACTCTCTTGGTTGGCTTTCAGGGGAAACCAACAGGAAATGCACAATTGTTGGTTGCTAGTTTTCTAAAAGAACACGATGGGTGAAGAGAATGGGCAATCATTCCCTAGAGACTTCACACCCCCTTTGGGAGAACCCCCAACTCAAACACACACACACACAAACACAAACACACACACACACAGACTCACACCTCCCTCTGAGAAGGCTCAAATGGACTACAGTAACTCTGGAGATGTGTTTGAGGGCCGGTGTGTTTGTGGCGTGAGCAGTGTTATGACAAACCGAAAGCTGATGTTGACATTACCCAAAAAGGCTTGGCGGTCCCTATTCCGTGGCAAGAAACCACAAAAAAAAACCTGGCACAGGGATTCAGGATCGATGTTCATGATTTTCAAGCACCCAGAATCAAGACTTGGCTTCTCTTTGCAACCCCCAAACCGGTACCCCGAACAAAACAACCCACGCCAAAGGGGCGCGAAACCGGCGCGAAACCGGAGCCGTCGAAACCGAATCGAAACCGGTCGGATCCGAACCCCGAGGGCCCGAGACCCCCGGCCCGCGGCATGAGATCCCGGTCGCTCTGCTCATCCTCGTCGCTGGCCTCGGAAATGGAAAAAGGGAAGCCCTGCACCGAAGCATTGAAAGTACCGTCCGGCTGTGGTCAAAAAATTGGGGCACCCCAAAATGGCGCAAGCCCTGGTAAATGGAACCAAAGACTTGAAAGTACAATTTGGTGCATTTTGCCAAGGGACTAAGGGACTTGAGAACTTTTTGCCAACGAATTTGGGTTTTCCGGATTAAACCACTAAAGGTTAAAAACTTTTAGCAAGTACTGTCCCTCCCACTGACATAGCACCTGACAGGGGGTTCCTTCAAGAGGACATTGAGAATTCATGTACCCTCCCACAGGTGCTTTGTTAGTGAAAGTAGATGGCTGTGGGTCAAAATCCATGGTACCCCTGGCGAACATCAAAATAGGTGGCAAATGGATGTTCATCCACCCCAAAATGGAGCCATAGGTTATGCAACCCATGGCCAGATCAATCCCCCGCGTGGGTCAGCACCTGTCCACGTTGCCATGGAACCGGTGCCTTTAAAAGGAACATCGTCTTCCAGGGACCCCTCTGGCTCTACCTTAGTGGGCAGGGTATACGAGATGGGGACCCCGGGAGTCCGTTGGTCCCATCCTTGGGTCAGGCCAAACATCCCCTACCTCATGGGGAACCCCCACCCTTCGGCCGGCAGAAAAATCCGGTCTTCCAACCACATGAGACCAAGGACGGAAGTGAGTCATAATCAAAGCCGGTAGCAAAACGGTCTACCCAGAATAACCAAGGCGGCCGCACCCCATTATGGCTGGGATTGTCCCTTGCTAACCTTCATCTACCCAGGTTTTGATTGTGGCTCATGTGAACAATTACAACACGTTGGGCCCCTCTTCTTTTTTGAGGCCCTGGCGGGCGGGGACTCGTGCTGGTCATGGAACCGGCCCAGGAAATTCCCGCAGAGGAGTTGGTTCAGCCCCGGCATGGCGCAAGCGATCCCCCGACCCGATTGTGCGCAGCGCAGACGCGCGCGCGCGTGCCGCGCGCGGCACGGGGTCGCCGCTGCCAGATGTTTGGCCCTGCTTGTTCAATCCACGCCAGGTCCAAATACTCGAACTCAGCCCTTTCCCATTTTGTATCCATGCGTTCAGCCTTCGAAGCCGGTCCAAAGCCCAAGTACGGGGAGTCGATTTGTTGATTGGCTCCGGAGCTATCAGCGATGCAACGGTGGGTTCTACCCTGAGCCAAAGCGGCGTATCGGCAGCAACCGTCTGAACAAATGTCGTCTATGGACCAACTAGAAACAACAGATCCAAAAACCAAAGAACAACTTTGACATGGGTGGAATCACTCAGCTTACACTCCGAATGAGCTTGTTGCGGAAACAAGTGTCTGAGAAGTTCAGGAACTTGCAGCGATCTGGATACGAAGTGGTACTCACTTCTTTGCCGGCAAACAACGCCCAATAGGTGGTTCGGGTAAAGAACAAAACATATCGTGTGTTTCCTTTGGGGAAGGTCAACGAGTCAACCATGTTTGCCCAGCACATTGTAACATCCTCTGGATCGGAATCGATTCCTGCCACAAAAGCTTGCGGCCGGGACTCAGTTGACATGACTCCATTTGAGGAAGCAAGGGCTCAACTTCAGGTCTGGGACCGGTCCAAACCGCATATTTTCAGATTCCCGGAACCAGAGTTCCAACGCCTGGAGAAACCAACGAAGGTTCACGGAGGCGATGGGCCCAAAGGACCTGATGCAACTTGTCCTGTGATTTCATCAGCCTCACGTGGCTTGGACTTGGTTAAACAGGCTTAATCAGGGGGGCAAATGGTCGTTCAAACAAAGTTGGCCCAGCCTCAAAATGTGCTTGAGACTTGCTTGGAACCAAAAACTCAGACGCCGTTCTTTGCCCAAATCCTAGGATTCCGACCCGTGAAAGGCGGTTTTTGGCCAGGAGTAGTTTTGTCCAAGGTCAGCTGATATCATTGAACAATTCGGGCGCCGCACGTGCTCAGGACCAAAGTGTGCAAAGACTTGACCTCCGTTCCCACAAAACAAGCGGAGGGATTATCAAAGGACAGGCTGAAACACATAGATTCACCGGTGTCAACATTCACGGCAGAAAACGTGATTTCACGCTGGAAAACAGGCTTTCACACCAATTTCACGGTATTCACGGTGATTTCACGCTACTTTTGCGTACATGACGGACCGCTATGTTCACACCAAAATTGTTGTGTCAAGACATGTTGGGGTGGAACTGGCTTTGTACAATCTAAACGTGGCAACAGCATGAATAATCCATCAAATACCACGCCATGGCTCATTGCAGGCGCAAAAAACAGGCTTTAGCTGCAAAAAACAGGCGAGGTGCAAAGGACGTTTAAAAAACAGTCGTGGATTTCCAGGGCCTACCGTGGACGAAATCCATTTCGCACCACCTAAGAAACCCTGGTTTCTGATGATTCCCCCCACAAATACCAACAAGCAATCATGTCAACCATGGTTCAAAGTGGTGCGAACGGATTTCGTCAATCCACATGACAAGATTCCCTCCACGCCTTGCCCTTGCCATCGGTCCCGTCGGTGCCATCCTCTTCGTCGTCGTCCACAGGCACCGCGGCTTCGGGGGCCGGCTCCGGCACATCCTAGCGCGCACTCGCGACTCGGCACGGACATGTTCTGGGTCTTTTCTGGTGGTTGACACGGAATCCATTCTTTGAAAAATGCGAATACGCCCCCTGGCAAAAGAAAGTAAGATTTCCAGTAGTGACAGATTCCCTTTAAAACCAACAAGGGGGAACAAAAGTGTTTTCTTTAGCAAATGGAAGATGGAGTATTCTTAGAACCACCAGGAACCACTCGAAGAACAGGGTCAGTGGATCCCCGCCTCCCACTCGACCTGACAAGTAGAAAGTTGGCCCCTGGGAACGAAAAGACCCCCGCGAATTTGGAGCTTCGCCTCCAAATCTGCCACTGCTTTTGTGATGACAGCTAGGGGAGGTAGAGGTTGGATCCTCCCAGCTCTAGGCTCAACATCAGTTGATGCGGCCATATCCGAGGAAGATCAACGCACCCAGAAAACCGGGGCAAGGAACAAACGCGCCTCCTCTCGCGCGGCCAGCATCAACCTGAAAGGCCAAGTTGGGGAAACTGTGTCCCTGAGTACCCCACATATGAATTCGTAAACGTCCTATTCATGTATGTGTGCAAGCATATCTACAAATATGTAGATGCACATCATGCAAGTATATGACAATGTATCGGACTACGCAGTACATCCACCTATGATTGCAACAACGTCCATTCTCCAGCATCGCCCGACTTCCTGGACCCCAACTTCATAAAGCTGTCTATGCTACAGAAATCACAGGGATTTATGTACATGCTCAAATCTTGTCTAGTCGCAGTCGGCACATGTCTGGCACTTCATTCCAATGGTCCTCTCAGAGCGCTTCTTTCAGCCTGAAGGCTAATTCTGGCTCTAGCATCAGTTTCGCGGCACCTCATTCCAAGTTGGAGCTTCCCCCCAAGCCAACGCAGCCGGGAGGCCTCTTGGGGCGCGCAGTATGTGTGTATATACATATATATATATATATATGTATACATACATTACTACATAACATCATGTTACATTACATTACATGCATCACATGGCATGACATTACCCTACATTACATTACGTACATACACAGTCATGCATATAAAAAGGCTTGTGCATAGTGTCAACACTTCAGTATTAAAGCCCCTCTTCAACTCCCCTCAAACAAACTTCCGACCGGCGAGAACGCCTGATCTTTGTCCTCTTTGCTAGGTTTGCTTCAGATAATGCCTTCTTGCACGGAGGCTTTGGAAAAACTTCAGCCAAAGCTACAAAATGCCAGGCACATTCCTTGATTTACTTTGGTCTCGCTCGTGAATTTGCCATTCGGGGTGATTCCCTGGCCTTAAAATTGGCCTGGCGGATCAGCCGCCGGCCAGCTGTGATATCAGATTGCGCTGGGTGGGTTGGAACCTTGGTTCGGGGACCCAATCTGGTCGTGGCAAAAACAAAAAAATCACATTTTCCCTCTTTGGTGGTGGTTTGCGTTGGCGGTTTGGAACCATTCTTCCTGTGGAAGGTTTAGTCAGATTGCGCTGGGTGGGTTGGAATTGGATTTGAACCCTTGGCTCTTGTAGAGGGTTTCGTTGGGAAACCCCTTCTTAACCACCAATCTCCAGACCACCAGTTGGAGGGAAGCTGATGGGCATTTCTGGGGCCCAAAAGGCTTCACTTTTCAGTTGTTACCCTGGATTCAAAAAATCATTCAAGCGGAGCAGCTCAAATCCAGACAGCCAAACAGACTTAAAGCTTCAAGGCCTTCAACGATAGTCTCAGTATTGAACCTGAAGGAAGTATCAAAAACACTAAAAAATAGAAAGGGCCACTGTGGTGAGTGTTGAGAAACGGGCCCCGTTTCTGTGGTTGTGAAACGTAGGTTTGTTGGCCACGGTCGCAAACATTCCCTCAGTTCAAATACGTGTTGCCCTTGTTTCTGGCTACTGGAATATTTGCAGCATGGGCAAGGTGTTAAGGTAAGCTCGGTCGAACCAAAGCCAATCAAGAAGCCAAGTCATCCTGAAATTAACAATCATACATGGGTCGCCCGGGACGTGATTTCCCCCTCGCGCGAGCTTTCACCTCATTAAGGCACCTTTGGAGGTTTGGACCCTTTTTGGGTCTCAACAAAACTTGGCGGTTCCATGAACCCTAGAGCCCTTCGTGGGAGAATGTGGACGGAAATCATAATTTGCACCTGGCAGGGATTACACCCTGTGAATAGTGGGATACACCATTCAACAACTGGTACGGAATTGACATAAATTGTCTTCGTCTCATTAAAAGCATCCACAGGAACTTCGCAGCTGGGGGGTTGTGGTTCTAACTGCCTATAGCAAAACCTGCAAGCTGGGTTCAGCGCGCTCACTGAAAAGTCTACGGCTATGCCTGGGAGCCGCACCTGAACGCCTGATCCACATCCTCCACCAGGACGAAGTCTTTGCCTCAAGCTGTCTGCTGGGCTTGCTTGTCTCAAAATAGGTTGGGAATCCCCAACAATGGTGGGGCGTCCTGTCGGTTCCCGACAAACCAAAAAAACAGGTCCTCAAAAAAAGGCGCGCCCAAAGAGTTCTCAAAAAAAGGCATACCCTTCCCCTGAAGTCCCCAAAGGGGTCAGATGTTTGCCAGTGGGGAACATAGGGCTGGGATCCTGAGAATAAAGAAGGAAAACCGTGGCTTTCTTTCAGACACCCATGTTGCATGTTGAGACTAGTAAGTCCCCTGGCTTAGGAAGTCTTGTGAGCACCCCATGTCCTTGACCAGAAGCCAGATGCGGATATGTTTACCGAACGTCACCATGATTCCTTCTGGCTTCAATGGAAATCCATGGGCTCCTCCTGCATAGAGCCTAGAGTAGCTGATGCATACTCTTTGAATTCGCGTCGATGTACATCGGCATTTCTTGTGACTGAACTCAATTTGGATTTGTGGACATTTAGGTTTCCTGCCACACTCATCTAGGAGGGTGTTCCCCAGAATTCATAGCTTGGCATTGAAGCCCCGCCAGAAACGCATGCGGAGGTCTCCGGTTTCACTGGGGCTGTTCCAGTCGATCCCCCAGACGTGCGAGAACTTGCAGGGCCCGGGTCCCGGCCGGGGATGCACCATGATCTGGCTGCTCAAAAAACCGGAATTCCAACATGGGTTGCCCTGGTAAGTGGAAACATGGGTACCAAAACCTGCGGTTTGCCCCTCCGATCGGTTAATTTTGAGCCACCCATCTGGAAAAGTTGCGCTGAGTTTCGCTGACTCGCTGGGTCAGAGGATTTGGAAGCAACACGAGGGAGTTGGGAATGAACCCTTCGGGATCCCGAACTAAAGGAAACCGCGCGGGACGAGACAAGGCTTGGGGTCATCCCCTCCTTCTCTGCCCATGAAACCCGCAAACTGATCAAGGGGCGTGTCCTCAGCTCCCCCGCGAAAAAGCTAAACTTTTCGTGGGCCAACTGGGAGAACCAGCCACCAAGCACTAAAAAGATCTAAGAGGCGAAGGAACCGGACGGCCTTCGGGCGCCAAGATTCAGGGCCCTCCCTTGCCAGCCCAAGACAGCGGAGCGGCGGAGCTTCAGCTTCGCGTGGGCCGTGGCCAGGCGGATCAAGGCCTGCGCGGATGGCCAGTAGCACAGAGATCCTTACATTAACCGAATTAACCACTATAAAGGCCCTACTATAACCTCCATGAAATCCGCATAGATCAAGAAAGTGTCTAGAGGTTCTGCAGGTATCATTATACACCTGAACATTGCAACTTGTAAATGGTGGTTTCCAACTTTAGTTTGGTGTTGAGAAAGCAACATGTTTCAAATGGTGGCAAAATGGAGATGTTTTAAGGAGCCCTGTAGTAGGGTGGCCCTGTTTACTGTGGATGGTTGCGAAATCCAGAAATCGCACCACTTTGAAACCATGGGAAGCCATTGCTCGTTGGTATTTACAGGGGAATCATCAGAAACCACGGTTTCTGAACGGTGGTGCAGGATTTCGTCCATCCACAGGAGGTGAACCTCCGGGGAACCACTACAAAGAGAACACCACCTGTTGTTTTGAGAGAACACGCCCCCCTTTTGTTAGGACAGGTTGATAAAAATCCGGGGTTCAACACTACTGGATTGATCTCCTGCCCTGTTATCTTTTCTAGGTTTCACAAGGAAAAGCTGTCCCTTCAGGCATGGGTGTAGCCCTCTTGGAGACACAATTCCTTGCGCCCCAGTTTCTGGAAGTTGTTTGAGCAACTTGCTGGTTCTCAGCAGGAATGAGGGATTAACCCTGAGAAAAACCATACCGCCCACCTCTGTCTGCCTCAACATTTTGGGGGAACCACCCGAGACAAAGCCAGTTGGGCGGTCGGTGCCAGGAGTCTTATCGTGATCGAGGTTGGAAGGGGAGCAAAAAATACAAAGCAGTTAAGTGGATTTGGATTTCAACCACTAAACCACAATAAGCAAAAATGTAAAATGTTTCCCAACAACAACCATGCTATTGTAACTCCTTTTTCTCGCTGGCAAGTGCGCCAGTGATTCCATGTATGTAAGTAACCAAGAGAACCCTAATGGAACCCCACTGGTCCTGGGAAACGCCTGGCATCCACTGGGTATTCCCGCGTACGGGAATACATCTAACCCGATGAATTTGTACCAGTCACGATTCTTGTTAACACGTCTTCAAACCAGCTGGGACACATCCAACACCACCTTCACTAGCGCTCATTTGCTTTTTTTCTGACAAGATAGCCATCCTTTTCCTGGCAAAATTGTTTGTCCAAGGGAAGTTGGGCTGTCTCCCCAAGTCCTCTCCAAACCAATCCAAGGAGGGCCTTGGATCCCAAAAGACCTCGAATAACTGGGCCTTCAAAAGGCTCCTGAAAAACCGTTGGGCTGCCTCAGCCTCCTTTGAATCACCCCATAGAGCTCCGGGTAGCAACTTCCCTAAGCCTTTTCGGGTAAGGGCCGAAGTCAGAATGGTGTCGTGGGGGTACTTTGAATCCAAAATTGAGCCATGGTCATAGAAGCGACATCTTAGTATTAGTATTCATTGTAGGCCGTCACATTACCTCCACGTCATTGGGCCTCATCCAAGGGATGTCACGAAAGGATTGCAACCGCCCTTGCCTTTTCAAGAGGACTGTTGCTTGCCTCCGATCGTCAGCTTGCATGCTATTGTTGGAATACGGGTTGGCACGTCCCCCGAAACATCAGCGCGACCCCACCAAAAGGCACATCACTTTAGATGGCCCCACAAGGGGATGTTCAAAACGTGCAAAAAGGCGAAATATGGGGAATTGTTGGGGTATTCATAATCCGAAAGGGTCCTGCAGAGTCGCCATCCCATCTCTGCCTCGCCTCCAGGGTTCGCGTGGTCACCGCCAACCTGGCGGTTTCGCTGAGCAAAAAAGCCATTGCCTGGCGAGTGACTGCTGACTCATTGGCACATTGACTAGAAGGGGCCAGGCACCTGACTAGTCACTAGGGGCCAAGCACCCAGGGTCACCTTCCAATGGCCCCCCTGGAATTAATCTACTTGCTACCCCGACTTCCAAATCGAGAATGCCTTTCCCGGTCGAATCGAAGCAAGTTGCCAGATGCTCCTTGGCTTCCACCGGAGGCTTCCGGCGTTCGGCTTCCCAACACCCTGCCATTGATTCAAAGCCCGGAATCCTGGTGCCCGACAGGTTGAAAGCGGGGGATCACTGAATGACACTTATCAGGGGATGGCAGTTGGCCACTCACAAAAAGTTGCAATCAAAAAAGCACCGTCTCTCAGCTTCTCGCAACTATCTTGAATTGTGAATTGTCAACCTGAAATGCCATAAGCACAGTAAATGAGAGCCACCTTAGCATTGTGAATAAAAGAGATGTCATCTAACCATAAAATTGGAATAAACCACCTCACGGGCTTATGGGACACATTGAAAAACCCACGTGCAAAGGCACCAACTTGTCCATGACGTTCAAGAAGAAACACCTCCTCAAAGATAACGAACAAACAAACACGTCAGGCAAGGCCCCTCGAGACTGGTTAGTGGGAGAAATAGTCCCCGAAGGCAAATCCAACGAAATCGCCTTGAGGGTCCCAGACCGCATTTGAGGTCTTTCGGGTTCAAAGGCCCTATTTGGGTTGTCTCTAAAGAAAATGGGTGGCTATTTGCTAGAAAGAAGGAATGTCGGGAAAGAATGGAAAAGAAAGTTAGCCCTAGAACAATCGCTAAAATTCCCTCCTCTACCACTCAGATTGGTTTCCTTGCTTCCCTTGGTTCTTATACAATCCCTGAGTTCCCTTGGTCGGGTGATGTTACCAGAGGCTTACCCGACTCCGACTCCGAGACTCCCCGCCTGGGCTTCCGGTCGGCCTTGCCGTCGCTGAGCTCCGCGAAGCCGCTCTGGAACCGCATCCTGCGGATCGGACCGCTGCCATCGGACCGCTTTGGTGCGTCCCTCTTTTTTGGGAGCGTTGGGTTGCTTGTTACTTAAAAAATGACGCCTGGTGTGTATTGACTGTTGTACTAAAATAAATGGTCATAATGAAAAACTGTTTGGTTCATAGAAAGAAACCGAGAGAAAACCCGTAAAACAAAAAAGACAACCTGCAACATAAACCTTCTTCTCCTTACCTTGGGGGGTTCCCCCTTCCGCGTGGTTTCAGAACGATCCGTCAAAAGCCGGGGGGAAATGATCCGGCGAGTCCCCTGGGACCAAGAGCCACCGCATCCTCGGCTCCCGCAGCTCTCGAAGCGCGTTGCCGCGAAACAATCTTCTGACCATGGGTGTGTGGATTTTTTTGACGCCAACCCCCAAAATGTGGGGGGGGGGTCCTTTTGGCGGTACCCCTTTAAAACCCACAAAAAACCAAAAACACAAAATGCACCGACTCCCAATTCCCTTTAAAACCCACAAAAACAAAATGCACCGACTCGGGAAACGACGAGGCAGCCAACCATAGGTGCCCTTTTAGGGGACATAGATGGCCCTGGTGGACGATTAAACCACCAGGTAAACCAGGAATCGCCATCTGCTTTTTTCTAGCAAGACAACCAAAAAGGACACCTATGCTTCTGACCCTGTTTTACAAGCCCAGTGGAATGAATCAAGGTGTGCCCAGCTCCACTCGGAGTGAGGCGGGAAGTAAGCGAACGGCAGTGAGCTGACTCACCCCACGTCCCTCCCAGATTCACCATAGGAAAGCGTGTTAAGAAAAGAGAGGCTCCAAATGATGGCGTTCTCGGCTTCCCTTCAAACCAACCTGAAAAGGGCACCACAAACACGCACTCATGTCCTTTTGGGACCTTGGCCCGCAAAAGGGACATAAAGTTTGGCAAAAGCAGGCGTGGCATCCTTCGTAAACCAGCTGAAACAGGCAATGCACCCCATTTATTTCTTCACGTCCTAAGTGGATTGGCCAAAACAAGCCTGATCTGCATAGTTACCAATAAAATGGTCTTCCCAACAAGCCTTACAGTCCAGGAACTCCGGGGGTGAGCTTCCCGGTGTACTTTGTGATTCCACAACCGATAGTTGGATCAAATACGTGTATCTCTGTGAGCGAGGGGCCCGCTGAACAAACACAAGCAGGAAGCGAACAGTTAAGTTTGTTACCCCCAAGGACAACCGTGTTTAGTTTCGTTTGATATTTTTCTCCCCCGCGATTTGGACCCTGGCAACCCCCCCAAAAAAACCAGGTTGTTTTTTCCCCCAGGGCTGTTAAGCTCATGGGCTGTTGGGCTGCAGGTGTTGGGCTGTTGGTTGTTTTGTTGGGCTGTTGCTTTTGCTGGGCACTGGGCTGTTGGGGCGCTGGAAAACGACTCCGAAGCGGCAAGCTCCTCATCTCCACGTACTTCTCAGAGACCGCCTTCCTCGCCTCTTCGTTGAGCACCGGCGCCAAGCGCTTGGCGTACCTCCGGCGACCCGCGGGTCGACTCCACGGAACGAGCCCGGAACGAGCCCCAAGCGCCGGCCGGGTCGACCGTGTTTGACCCGGCTGTCAGTCGTGGGGCGGAAAACCAGGGATGGCAATGGCCCGAAATGATCCAACAGAACAAGTTGATTGATTTTGCCACGTCAACAGGAATCGAGCAACTCCCCAGGGGTACAATGGAAAAAACATCCAGAGGGTTAACTCTTTGCTGGTTGAAAGCGTCTGTCCTTCTTCAAAAGTTCAACCCGCAGTGCGTGTACGCAACACGGCATGACACCCACCGGCTTGCTCACCGCTGCTGGAACATCTCTTTGCACCATTGCATCTACTCCATGTGTATGCTCTTGCCCCTACAGGTTGCGGACCACATACCCCATCTTTGCAGCCTTAGATGGCACGCAACCTCAGGTTCTGTGCCCTGGAGCACTTTTTTCCCAGAGGACCCTCTCCTTCGGCTTGTGGCATTCCATTTATCTGTGAAGCAGGTGACCACGGGAACCACCCAAAAACCCAGAGTCAGAGACCATTTCAGAAACTTCAGAGATGAGAGCTTCAGGTGTGGAACCACATAATGTTGACCCCGGAGTAATAAACCCCTGTTTGTTAATAAGGGGGTGTTCCCCTCCAAAAGTGATAAATCCCCACCAAAACCGGGGACACCCCCATATTAATAAACAGGGGTTTATTAATTCGGGGTCAACATTAAGGGGGTGGGCCGGAAAAATGTACCAAGTGTTGCATATCGTTGCCAAGTCTTCCCCATGCATGGCTCCAGCCATCCCACGGGTCTTCCAATGTCGGCCTATGTAACTGAAATCCAAAAGCCGAGGAAATCCTGATAAGGAGCCTACTCAAAATGCGCATTCCGAAACCAGGACATGTCGACATCTTCGTTTTCGAACCCGTTTTGATTGAAGTTCTCCCATGGCCCTCCCAATTGGACCATGGCTGGAAAGCTCCACCGAACCTGGGGTAAAGAATCCAGTTTGCGTGCGGCGCAGATTTCTTCGGCCCCGGCCTGATATACTTCTGCAGGAAATCCACGGTGACGACCTGCTGCGCCTCCTGCCCATCCACTGGCATCATGTCCTGCGCCCGTCGGCATGGCGGGCGCCGGGGAGAGGTAAGGGTGGGTGCTTGGGTAAGGGTGGGTGCTTGGGTAAGCGTTGCGACGGTAACAAGTATGTAGGACCCACTTATCCTCTAAAGTAAGTTGGACCCTGCTAACCACTTACCAACTTGGCCCAAACATTTTAGTGGTGAATGCGGGGTCTGGACACATTTCAAAACAGCTTCCCTGTTGATGGTTCCCTTTGGAGCAATTTGACGGCGTTTGTCGGGTGTTTTATGCCAAAGTCCATGGCACTATTTCCCTCTGCAAGCAGGGAGGTAAAACCAAAAGGGGGGGAATTGCGCCATCTACTTCTTCCCAATTGTAAGTGGCTACATGAGTCACTGACAATCTGCTAGCGAACGTTGACCTATTAATAGGAGGCGTTGCCTCCAAGAGTAATTGCCGACTTCCCCACGCAACCGAGCCGCGCGACACTTGTGAATAAACTCGAGTAAACTAATCCGAGGTGTTCACATCACTATGCTCTTGGTTTGTGGGGGGGGAATGGAGCGCACATCCAAATGTCCCATTGGACATCTTGCTGGGGTTTGGCAAGAAGAAAATGTTCATACAATCTGCGGGGGGTGCTTTCCACATGTTGTTGGCAACAAAAATAGACTTGAAGAGGTCAGCCCATGCTTCCCAAACCTACAAGTTGCCACCGATGACAAAGTACGCTGAGCCTTTTGTATGGCAATACGTCATAACTTATAACCTTTACACTTGCTTTGTGCCTGGCATGAATCACAGAGGCGACCAGCACTATTGTTTACCATTGACTTTCAAAAGGTTGGCTATCGAAAACCAGGCTTACTTTACTCCAGGGCTTCTGGCATGGTTTATGGGAAGGTCATACATTTCATACCCCTGATTTCTTGTGAATGAGGTTGCGCAACCAACCCGCTCGACCCTATGTTCCATCCAAAACAGGAAGGCAACAAAACAGCCCTCGCCTTCAACCATCTTGGGCCTGAAATCCCGCAGCCAGGGCTGGACCAACAACCCGTTCGATCAGGCTTGAACCAGGGCGGTTAAACCATTCCGTTCGGAGGTATGTTTTTTTCACTAGGCAGCTTTCGGCTGCCCTCGCTCAACGTTGCCACGCCCAAAGACTCTCAAACCGTGTTTTCTACGTGAAAGGGAAATCGCCGAAGAGCTCCTCTACTAGCTAATCGGACACCCAGGAAGTAAACATAACTTGGCTGCGTCATATTTATTTTAAACGTAAGCTCTATGACAACCCTGTACAATGCACAATGTAAACCCGGCCCCTCAATCTACCTTTCTGACTCTCAAGCTGGGACATTGCCCGAAACATTTTGGGGTGATGTCCCCTTTCGACTGGGTAGTTTGGTCCAAAGCGTTGTGACAAGAGACCTCAGCCATACAGTGGATGGTTGCGACATCCACTTCGCACCTAACCAGAAACCCACCGGAATGATCCGACCTCCCAAACGTAAATACCAAGCAACGGCGTTCTGGACATGGATTTCATGATCCACCACTACCGAGCGACAGCCCCTGTCTGTCTGAACTCAGTGGTGCGAGAAGGGGCGAACGGGTACTTAGTAAGTGTGCAACCATGGTTCTACCCCACCTTTCGTTATAAGTCGATTGTAACCTTCACCTTGGCGTAAGGTCTCCTAAACTTCCTAACCACTCAGCTGACGTACCTTGCCCCGCGAGAAGCCCTGAGGCCTCGAAGAGCTTCGCCGGCTCTTCGGCCAGCTTCTCGTCGTTGCGCCGCTCCAGGATGCCTTCGTCTTCGCGCGCGAATGCGATCGCGCGCGAGGACCGCGCGGAAGATTCCGTTGGCGCGGGCCCCCCCCCGCGCAGAAAGGGATGCAGCCAGGGGAACCAAAGAGCTCGGGCCAACTTCGTTGGATCAACAGGTGGGGCACTTAGTGAGTTCTACTAGTTCTCTGGGGGTGCAGAGACTTGGGGTACCTGAACCGCCCTTTTGGGCATCCAAGAGTACCAACAAATCAGAAGGGAACCCAGAAGACACTTGTGCAGGGGCCAACAAAAACATCCTCTAGGCTTGAGATTTGCACACTGCCCAAGGCTTTTCCAGTCCGGTGAAGCACCGGAGCCTCGAGAAGGCATGCCGGGCTGGAGAACATGGAGGTTTACGAGACTGGGCTTCCCGGTGCACATCAGAATTCCTCACTTCAACATGAAACCCCCCAAAACCTGCTCTAGAAATAGATCAGTTGGGTGGTCGTTCAGCAGGGAGCGCAACTTCTCAAGGCAAGTCCCTCAAAACAATTCGCTGCCCGGCTCACCAGTTTCCATTTTGTTGGGCTGGTTACGAACTCCTGGAAGAGTCAAAGCCCCACCCCAAGAGCGTCCCAGATTTGGGGCAATTCAAAATACTTCCTCTTGGCTTTCTTTGCGCCGTGAAATGGTCGCAAGCCAAGGTCTATGAGCCCATTAAACCCCCTCCCCCTCCCCAAATTTGGGTGTTTTGGGGATAGACCCCTCACTTGGCCGCAGACTGGAGTGGATCTGCTCAACACCCCGCTTGGTCTCGCCGTAGCGCATGGAGCACTGCCTGACTATGTCCGTTTTCAGATCCCCTGCTAAAAGCGACTAACTTTTCGCGGGTTAAATGGAACCCCCACTAACCCTAAACAGCTAAAACGCTGAGGGGATGGCTGGGAGCCCTGAGACCAGTGGAGTTCAAACCGATCTTCCAGGGGTAGCTTCCATTTCCATTCTTTCCGGGGATCCGATTCTGTTCAGGAAGCCATCCAAATTCCCGAAGGACATAGCTGCTCTTGAAACAAACGATGGTTGAAAAGAATGGGGAATCAACCCCTAGAGCTAGGTTGAAACTTGCCTCCAACAAACGTCAATGTAACATGTTTACCTTAATCATGACTAAACACAACATGAACTGGATTGTCTCCGAGCGATTTACCAGTGGAATGGCAAGCTACAATAGACATTGGAAACAATACACAAAAACAGTCAGTTCGGTTTGGTTGCAAGTGACTGGACCCATTAAATTGAGTCCCTCAAAGTTAGTTACCCTCTCAGTGGCAGTGAAGAAACGGGCTTCCCAGCTCCAAAGTTTCTTTGAGAAGCCTCAACATTTTGGTGGCACATGGATGTTCGTCCACCCCAAAATGGGAATAAAGCCATAGCTTATGCACCCCATGGTCATGTTTAGGAATCAATACCTCAAGCAGGGCCAGTCAATTCCGACGGTCTGAAATCCCCGTTAAGCAAGCGGGAGCCATGGTCATGGTCATTAGGAACCGGAAGCGGGTGAAGCGACCTCTTCTGTTGAAAAGGCATCCCCAGTTTCTTGGCTTTTCCCCATCACACGGATCAATTGAAGGCCCTTCTGTACCGGGCCTCCAGTCAGGTCTCACGTAAGTAAGACTCATCTCAAATACCAAAAATGAAGGCTGCTGACCAATTGATTTTTTGAAGGGTCATGAAGAATGCAGGACGTTTTGGCGGCAAACTTGAGGCCGGAGGGCGTACCTGCTCGTGCGACCAAATCAACTGTTTGATACCATGACTGTGAGAAAGAGAAAACGTGAATAGATTATCCTTTCGGGGAGCAGAACAAGTGTGTGTTGTGTGTGTGTGTTGTGCTGTGCTGTGCTGTGCTGTGCTGTGTTGTGTTGTGTTGTGCTGTGCTGTGTTGTGTTGTGTTGTGTTGTGCTGTGTTGTGTTGTGTGTGTGTGTGTCGTGTCTTGTCGTGTCTTGTCGTGTCGTGTCGTGTCGTGTGTTGTGTTGTGTTGTGTTGTGTCGTGTCGTGTCGTGTCGTGTCGTGTCGTGTCGTGTCGTGTCGTGTCGTGTCGTGTCGTGTCGTGTCGTGTCGTGTGTTGTGGTGGTGTGTTGTGTTGTGTTGTGTTGTGTTGTGTTGTGTTGTGTTGTGTTGTGTTGTGTTGGGTTTTTGTGGTGTGTTGTGTGTTGTGTGTTGTGTTTTGTGTTGTGTTGTGTGTTGTGTGTTGTGTTGTGTTGTGTTGTGTTGTGCTGTGCTGTGCTGTGCTGTGCGGTGCGGTGCTGTGCTGTGTTGTGTTGTGTTGTGTTGTGTTGCGTTGTTGTGTTGTGTTGTGTTGTGTTGTGTTGTGTTGTGTTGTGTGTGTGTGTGCGCGTGTGTGTCCGTCTTTTTGCGGTACTCCTTTCACCTTGCACAGTGCCCCTATGGACTATAACACATAATATGCATTTGACTTTTCGAACGATTCATCGACGCTTAACTCGATGTGCTTCATTTGCAAGAGCGCAGCGGATTCTTGGCACTCTCCACAGAAAACTCAGTTGTGCAACCTCCATACTCAGTTGTCAACCGCGTTGGGTCTTTACAAAAAAACATCAAGCGCATCGGGCTTTTTAATCTGGGCTCTTGTAAACACCAATCCAATCCAATGGTTTTTATAACCCCCCCCCCCCCCGTTTCCCCCCCCCCATTTCCCCCCAGGTTTCCCTCGGCCTTAGCACCTGATCGGCGATCTTGCGGTCGATCTCTTCGGTCGTGAGATCCCGCACCACCTCGGAGTGGCAGCGACCCTGGACAAGCTTCTAGGGGACACTTCCATTTCCATTCTTTCCAATCCGAATCCTTCCAGAAAACCATGAGAACCGCAGGGGAAACAGCGCGATCGGTCTTTGAAAAGAACTATGGTTGAAAAGAATGGAAAAGGAATCACCCCCTAGAAAGTTGGAGACCTTTTTTGGGTTAGCCACCAAACAAAATTGGGAGGGTGCTGAACAACTGGGTTCTCTCAGATAGGGAGCTTCAAAATGAAAGGGCCCTAAGGGGCGGACAAAATGGCAATATGAACATCTACATGATCCAGTGGTATAGTCCCAATGACTTGCCATTCACACCGTTCAACGCCTTTGACGACCTACCAAAGCCTACCAAAACCTACCCAAGGCTATCAGCATTTGTCAGAACCTCATACAACCTATCATCAGATGTGCTGAGCAGTAAGGTCGATGTGTGTATGTGTGCGTGTTTTGCTGAAGGATCAAGCAGTCAGCGAACTAAGCTCAGGTGCCCCTCTCGAACAAGATGCCCCTTTCGAACTGCATGACGGATGTTGAAGGAAAGCCAGAGATACACCAAGGACTTGTTGTGGAACCATCTTCGAAACGCCTGTTTTGCCACTGACCGACCGGACAGGCTGGCAGGCAGGGTCTTCCCCCACGCAGCAGAAGCGTAAGGTTGGCCAACCGGTTGCCCAAGTCGCGAGTCAAAAGAACTAGGCAGGAATTTCCCTGAGCAAACCATCCACCTTTTACAGATGGAAAGCCCACCGGTCTCCAACAGGCCCGGAGTCTTTTTCTTTTTTTCGAGCACATCAGACCGTCAAGACCACGGGTCTCCATAGGGTTAGGTCCTTCCATTGGAGGGGTCACCCGCAGGTTGCGGCTGTTGTTGCCACATTGGGCTCCTTCTCCACACATCGCCCCAAAAGGAGGCGCTGGTTCGATCCTTCCAACAGATTCGAGGGAAGCAAAAAAGAGATTGTTAGACAAAATATTTGAACATATCATATGTTTGAAGAGGGGGGTGTCCAAACCCTGACAGAAACCTTTTTGGGACCTAGACCAAAAGTGGTGGCCGATGGAGGAAAACGTCAAAGGTTCATTTTTCGCCGCCAAGCGATCCCCACAACTGCACGGAATTGATCTGCTTGGGAAGTGCCGACTTTTGGCCGTGGGCCGAAAAAACCGGCGGCCAGGAGAAAACCGAGGCCCCCATCTGTTCGGTAGATGCCAAAAGGAAAGCCCCTCGCAAATTTCAGATAGCCCACTTGCGGACCTCATAAGTAGTGACTTGCTGAAAACTACACTGGGCCCCTAAGACCTAAGAGTGCAGGATTCTAAAGCCATGGCCACTATGGTCGCTATGTTCCCCGGCAAAAAAACCGACCAAGGGTTGGCAACAGAGCGAGAGAAGTTTGTCCGGCTTGCGATTGGTGGAGCAGGGTTGGGCGACGCATGGGTGGGAACAAGTGCACCCTCTTTCCGACAATCATGTAAGTGGACAGGCGGCCACTTCAGGAGAAAGTGTTTTCGACCCAGGTGGCTCACTTACTATCTTCGCCGGACATCGACCCCTCGATCTGGAAGGGACCTGGTTACTAGACTAGCGCGCCAAGCAGATCCTCTCGAGGCGTCAAAAGCCGAGACGCGAAGATCAGGTCGAATCGGGAGAGGAGCGAGTCCGGCAAGCCGATGTTCTTGACCTCAGACACGCAAAAAAACTTGCCTTCGGACCGTGTGGTTTCGGGGGGCGGGGGGGGGGGGGGGCAATGTGGCTGTGGGTCAAAAATAGGTGCCCAAAATGGAAGCCTGGTAAGGGGCAACATGGACCAAAACCTGTGGTCGCCCCTGGTGGTTTAATTTTGACCCACGCCCATGTCGAACCATGGTTCAATGGGTAGCCATCGCCATTTTGGGCCCTTTTCAAACAAACAGAGTTGGGTTGGACAGTCACTGGGTTCCCCCTCCAAATTGATGGGTTCCAGTTGGTGGGTTCCCCCTCAGTTGGTTGGACACTTACAATTTGGCGGGTGCCATTGAAACGATCGCCACCAAAAAGGGGAAGCTCGCCTTCAGAAGGTCGCCCGGTGGGATGTGTCCGGGGCTTCGGGCCAAGTCCAGCGAGGGGTCGAAGTTCCCATAGATGGGATTGGCCGCCGCCAGCACGCTGCACCTCACGGAAAAAAGCGAGTTGAATGAACTCATGGTTTTGGTTTTGGTGTTGCTGTTGGTTTTGGTTTTGATGGGGATGATCTTGGTTTTGGTTCATGATTTTGGGAATGGATCCCCGAATCAAGGAAACCATAGGGGATGGATTTTTGTGGGGCCTCATTTCTGCTGAGCACCAGCAAGTCTGGCTGATGGACAACTGAAGGAGACCTTGACACCGCAAATGCCTCCAAGAGAAAAAATCAGGTGGACACCCTGGAAACAGGATGCCGTTGGGTTGGGGTTTTGAAAAGGCCCCCCAAACCATAATTTTCTGTAGTCTATTTGAGCAGGGGAACCGAATCTCCCAACCAACAAACGGTGAGAAAGGGCACTACTGGCACTACTGCGGGACCTAGAACAATATCCCCAGGCGCCCAATACCTTTCTTGGCCCCGAGGTCTTTGCCTGGCGCCCCTGGCCTCGCGTTCAGCGTCACGTGCATGCCGGCCTGCCGGCACCGGACGGACGCGGCGCCGAAAACTTCTTGCGTGGTTGCTCGCCACCAACAAAAACAAGTGGGGGTGATCAAAAGGTCCTTTGTCATGGGATGACCATGGGGGAAAACATTGAAAAGATCAAATTTCCACTGCCATGTATTTGTCAACCCCGATTTATCCAAAACCTTTTCATCTGAAGTCCTTGGCCCAAGGCTCCGTATCTTTCGGATCTTGGGTCATCTTGGGTCCCTTGGAAATTGGAGAACTTCATTTAGTGGAGTGGCAACCACCAACAATTTGCAACCAAACCTGGACGGGAGTTATTTGTTTGGAGCAAACAAAGGAACCCCTGCTTGATGAACCATCCCACGTGGTAAGTTGTCAATGTCTCCAGTCAATAAGTCCCCTATTAGGGTGTGAAATTTAGTGGTGCAACCCTTTGGTGGCCATCATCCAGCTTGAGATTGACGTCGAGCAACTAGTTTGAGGTGGTTCCATATTAACATTCACAGCCAGGTGGGACTTCCCCTACTTGCATTTTGCTTGTTCACCGGGATATTGACCACTTAACTACAAGTACTAAGCGGGATGATCATCCATGCAGTGCAGACACTCTTGGGGGTCCCCTTTAATATGCACAGGAGGCTCAAAAGGCTGTCCCAACACTCGGGATCCCTTGTGGGATGTCTCTTGGAAAGCCGAAAGGACACCCTTGCGGGGCATCCTATGTTGGAGCAAAATATATGATGGACCCCTTCAAAAGCCAAAAAACAGAGTCCGCCCAGGTTCAACCCTGTAAAGCGGTCAAAAGCCAAAAGGTGTTTCTCCCAAAAGGACAACCCTTTGGATGGGGAAGGTCCGGTGCCGCACACAGCATTCACATCGCAGGATACATGCAAAACCCACCTGATTTTTTGTGCCTTCCCAGACCCACAAGAATATCAGAGTTCACCCCCAAAGACCTCAGAAAGCGGATTGGGCAACCCTGGGGAAAGGTGACTGGACCCCAGCGGGCACTCTGGGCCGGGAAGCCGCACCAAGCGCGCGGCGAAAGCATCGCGCCTTCGCGATGGTGACGCACTGCTGCTCCATGGCTTCGTGGATGGCCACGCGGTCCGCTTGGTTCATCCTGAGCTCCGCTGGCCGAAGCTCCCGCCGCCCTCCCGTGGAAGTTGAGAGAAGGTGCCCCCTAAGGGACTGGAGCCAGGCAGCTTCCATGATACCCGCCTCCAAGAAGAATGGAAGCTGACAGAAAGGTATCGAAAGACTACTTTCCTTTTGGGGGACGTCCACTCCATGAGTGGAAAGAGGGTACTTGACGATATTGGGTGGGAGGGTCAGCACAAAAACCTGTCAAATCCCCAACGTGTTCGATGGTGAACGGTCACACCCAGCAACGTTCCTATCCGTGAAACAGCCGGGACTCTGGAGGGCCTGAGCTGAGGGTGAGCCTGGTACTTGAAGGCCTTTTTTGTGGAACATCCATCGTGAAAGCATGCCACAGCAACAAGCAACACCGCTTCTGCATCCTGACGCGCATGGACAGTCTTCGGGCCTTCAAAATCACGAATTTTGAGGGCCCAAGCATTTCGAGGAATGCTGACAGGCGAAATCCAGAGGGTTTCAACCAGGGTTCCGGTTCTTGGCAAATAGATTTAAACCCAGTTGATTTTCCCAACAAACTTAAGTATTCGAAACAAATCTTAAAGATCAAACACTGGAACCTTGAGGCCTGTGCTTTCTCCGGATTTCCGATGTCCGAGCCGCTTGTCGAACTCGTCGATGCAAATGGTACCGCGGTCCGCGAGCACCATGGCGCCAGCCTGGCAAACCATTCGCCCGCCAAAAAAGCCGACACCCCGTTTTTGTGTTGGTCGATTTCACAGGGAACCTACTGAGAACAACTTGAAAAACCGAAAACACTGAAAAATGCTATGCTGGTAGTAGTCTGTGCTTTGTGTGTCTGCTTTTTTTACTTGGCTGGAGGGTGTATCATTACATATACATATATATATATATACATTGTATCTACATATATGCTACCATGGCACCCCTTGGTCAGGTCGGGTCGCATGCGAACTTCTACAGAGCTTTCCATGCTCCTTTGCTCTACATCCAGCCCAGCATAAATCCAGGGTCATCATTGGTTCTGGTTGGTCTCTCATCGATGGGTTGGCCCACATCCACTAACACAAATCCCAAAGAAGAAAAACCTGCATCGCGGGTGAACCCCATTCAAGTCGACTTTGGATTCCCTAAATTTATTCTCAGCTCACATGGGGAAACCATTTGGTGACTCTTTGGACATCAGAAAAAGCGAAGTGCTTCGTTGATTCCACTTGGTCGGGTACTATGGACGGACGAAATCCTGCACCAGTTGTTGGAATAACACTAAACCCAATAAATGCTGGGATAAACCACCTAGTACCATGTCCATCCACAGCAAAACAATGGCCGGGTATGTGCCAAAATAGGAGGACCCCCTGTGAATGATGAGTTCCCTTCAAAAAAAGGACACACCCGAATCTCCTCCCCGCCCTTTGGATTTTCGCCTCCAAGTGGAACTCCCGCGATCCCTGATCCTGCGCAAATGAATTGGGCCAAGCCCTCAGACCTATGTTCATGTTTTCCAGGCTGAAGCAAATGGAAGGATGGTTCACCCCACGGAAGTGTACCAAAAACTTAAGGGGGGCCGAAACGAGGTTTCCCATATCACCCCCAAAAGGGCACCCTCACCATGGCCATGTTTTTCCAGTTTATGCCTCCCTCAAAATTCCCCTTTGGGTGTGATGGGCTTCCTGCTAAAAGTGGTCCTGGTTTGCGGAGGGTTCCAAGGTGTACTGTTCACTAGCGTTCCATGTCAACTCCGATTTTTTGGGTTCCCAGCACAAGCAAACAAATACCTGGACCCTCAAACCATCCTTAAACATGGGATATCACCCCCAAATCATGGGGCGATGTCCCTTCCCAACAGCTGAAAGCTATGGGGTCTCTGCCCAAATAGGCCCTGCAATGGTCTGGGGCAGCTATCGAAAGTTCAACAGCAGGGTTCCCCTTTCGGCTGTTGGAGCCCGATACCTGGGCGGATTTTTTGGGCTACGTACATGTGTGAAATCGATTCCCATCAAACAACCAACAGGGGAAAAAAGAAAGAACAAAAAACGGCTTCATTCCAGCAAATGGAAGAAACCAATCCAAACGACCAATCAGTAATGTATATGAAACCCAACTTCCAATCGAAAGATATTCTTACATGGGTGTGGCTCAAACTTTTCAACAGCTGGGGCAAACCGCGGGTTTTAGTCAGGTGCCATTTTGGGGATTCCATTCTTTGAGCCACAGCCAAATGGAAGTCTCAAATGGACCCCCCCAATTCTAAGGGTAGCTTCCCCATTCTTTCCAGGGGTCCTTCCTTCTAGAAAACCTCCAGAACCCCCCCCCAAACAAAAAACGGACAACGGCGATGGGTTTTTTAAAAGAACGATGCTTCACCAATGGCAAATCCCACTTCGATTTTGCGCGGATCGAGTCCCGGATCATCGCGGCGGTGAGCCCCACGCCGCTGGAGCCGCGGCCCGTGGTGGACACCGCACGCGGGGACTCGGTCACACGTGCAGTCGACGTAATGGGCGCGCCCAATAAAAAACGAAGAGGTCAGGCCCTTGTCCTTACGTCTAGTTGGCCCAATGGTTTGGGGGTTCTTGTTGGCCCAAAGGATCCTTTGGAAACCAAAAGAAATCAAAGGGTCTGAGTACGTAGGGAAACCCAAAGGTTTTTTAAGCAGCTGGATCCCCAAAGAGCAACCTCTTTCAGGGTCGTAAGCGGCCGTTTGAATTTGGGGGCTTCCCAACCAGGTTTCGAAGAGGTCGTGATGGGGCAACATCTTCTTGAATGACTCAGCTTCCCTTTGTTGCGGGGGGGTTGGGACAAAGAGCTCGTCTCTTGCCAGTGGTTTCCCATGGGCCAAACGGGAGAACCTTGCCAAGGTCCTGAACAAAACACATGTTTCAAGCAGAATGGAGATGTCTGCAAGCTTTACCACAACATCAACGCATCCACCACGTACACATCCCCGTGTGGTTTCCTCCTGGGTAAATAAAGAAATATGTGATACTTTCTTTCGCATATCTTTTGGAGTTGTACCGTGTGCCAAAGAGCATGGAGCGATGCAAAAGTACAATCATGCACCATGTCTCCATCAGCAACGTGACCGCCTGACCAAAGAGGCCTGGGATTTCTGACAGTTGACACTCGAGCCCCGTGCCGTGTTCATCACGAAGCGCAGCATCTGAGACTTGCCGCAGGAGGGGTCACCCACCAGCAGAACCTGAGCTCCGGGGACGTAGGTGTGGGAATTAAAGGGATACCACCCATTTAAAATTTGGAGGGTTCTGATTCCTATTTTGAGAAACACCACAGTCTGTTCAATTTGGCATGGTTTGCCCCAAAAAGGAAGCCCCAAAAGGAGGCTCCTCTCAAACTGATGGTTTTTTGCAAGCGTCATGTTTGTCTGCGGAGGTCTCTGATTAGGTCGGGACATGGGTCTGTTGGCCATTCGGCCAATAACGCGATAGCAGGGTGAAACTCCACTTGGGGGGTGCAAATAAGTGGGTACCCTAGGGTGTGCAAGACCCCATTATTTGAGGTCTTTGGGGGTCGAAAGATCTCACACTTGCGGTCTTGGACCTCTAGGTAACCACCTAGCTTACTGGCATTTGGCCACGAACACACCTTAGTGAGGCCGCACACTGCCAAGCAAATTTGCTTCAAATGGTGGCAGAGGACTTGCAAAAGATTTTCTGCTTGAGCAGCCGGATCTGCAACTGGAGGTTCCTCGAAAAGGTTCGGGCCAAGACCTGCGTAAAGAAAATCTTAAGACCGGATGAGAAATTGGCCATCAGGAAGGAACCGCCAAGACCTGCGTAATGATTGATCTTAAGATCGGATGAGAAGAATCCGGCAGATCATCAACTAACGCTCTCCGCAAAAGTGAAGGATCCCTTCTTAATTGTTGTCAATTGGGAGACCCCGTATGACCTATTCAACAATCAAGGGATTGTTTGAGCCTGGATTCCATTAATGAAGTCTAACCAGACCCGTGCAAAGAATCAACAGTTCATCATTGATATCCCATTTCAAATGCGTTCTTCATGAAAGGTGATTCTTTTTGGACCTCCCTTCATTTAAAAGGCACCAGTTCTTGAGTCCCAAAACCGGGGGCCAGAACAGTGAAACATATCGCCCCCACAGGATTCTTGCTCTGCACCTCTCCATATCAAGGCCCTGTCTCTCTTGCAGCTGTAGACTGTAGGCGTTCTGAGTCAACAACGTTGATGTCTCCTCTCAGATGGGTGCCGTTGGACAGATTCTTCTCCTCAGTGCAAAGCCCACATCTCCCCTCCCGGCCTCCCGGGCTGGCCATCGGCCGATTGCCATAAGTCCCAAACTGGCAAAAAGGAATCCGAAGGTTAGGGACCTTCACCTCCCAACAAATGGTTGCAGACATCTTGTGAGGTTGACCTGGTGTGCGTGTGCATGTGCGTGTGTGCGGGTGTGTTGCCCTGCACAAACTGACCTCTTGTTTACGGGTCAAAATTATCTCTCCTCTGGATTTTGCGCCCACATGCGCAGCAACGCACACTTTGGATTGGCAATTTCAATCATAGAATGGGGGAGCAGGTAAGAACTGTTCTTTGGAACACAAGGCGCGCAAAGGCAGTGTTTGCCAAAACTGGACATTGTGCCAATGACGTAAAGTAGACCAAAACTGGGCGGTGAACAATTTGCATTGAACAAGTTGGTTGTGTGCACTTGTGCATTCTACAGCTAGGCTCTAGAGTTGAAACCCCCACCCACATGTCAAGTTGCAAGAAGAGCAAGTCACAGTTGAAAGTGGTCTTGCGCAAGTTGGTGGCTCTTGGGGGACTGCGCAAACAAAATCTTTCCCGGGCAGTTTAAGGCGGTGCTTGTATGCGACTGGCAGGCGCCATGTACTAAACTGAAGCAATTTCAAGGCCAATGGCCAACCACTCCTTTTGAGAAATTCCTGTTGACCCACCTACAGCAAACATTAATACAAAGATAAGAAAGAAGAAGACAGAAGTAATTCTAAGGTGTAATAAAGATGGATTGGAGAGGTATGTAAGAAGCCGATTAAAGATGTTTGTACCAGTTGGTAAAGATAGTAAGATTGCAACTCCTGTAAAATAAGCTTTTGTATCACTTTCTAAACCTACAGTATACATATGATGTCCCCAAACAAAACTTCCAAGAAGAGAAATAGATGACTTGGCAAAGATCATTGATTGCTTAGCGAAGATTATTAACTGTAAAATCCCAGAAAATATTCTGGAAATCATCCCAAAAGCAGGAATTATTAAGATGTAAACTTCTGGATGTCCAAAAAACAAAAATAACAGTTGATAGAATATAGGATCTCCTCCAAATATTGGATCAAAGAAAAGCGTATTAGAATGAAGATCACCCAACATTGAAAGAAGTGTACCAGATAAGATAGGATAGATAGTTAATTTTCAAGCATGAAAGCTGTAATCAAGAAAGAGAAAGGAAATAATAGGATAGCCTTTAATATGAAACAATAAGATCTCAGATTTAGAATTGTTATCCAAAAGTTAAGAGATGTAAGACATGAAGATATATACCAGATATTAATAATCCTAATATGAGATTTCCTGTACTTGAAGGTGATAAAGTCATGAAAGAAGTGGATAATATAATGTCCATCCTGTACCACCTGCAAATTCTGAGATTAAAGAAAGGATTAGGAAAATATATGAAAGTAAAAGAATAGCCCGCCTCCTGCATTGGCTTTGGGTTTTGAATCCGTATGTTGCAACGGGCTCACGGCAGCAGCAAGCATAGGCATCCAGGTCGGGTGACCATGCTTATGGCATTCGGGGGGTGTGCAGGGGAGACCCGGGGCACGACGACAGAAATGGATACAAACTACGTGTCTGCTTGATTTACTTATCATCGAAAACATATTGATGCAAAACTCCTGTGTGTCTTGAAATACGGAAGTTTCGCAAAGCAGTAGGGATCTTCTCAACGATGGGAGCCATACTCCCTACCCATTGGACCTCACTAGGGCATGACAAGTAAGTCATGAGCAACCTAGCTACAGTATAACCCACGTTGAGCTAAACCTGTTCTTGGTTGGTTGTAAGCCAGGTAACCAAGGTGGCCAATCACTTAGTACCTTTGCCGAACGCCCAAGTGGGCTCGGTCAACAGTAAACCACCAGGGTACCGCAGATTTTAGTCCATGTTTCCATTTGCCAGGGTTCCATTTTGGGTACCTATTTTTGACCCACGGCCAAGTAAAAACTGCAAGATGCGCCGCAAGTCTCGAAAATCAGCACGCCTTGCAGCCCGAGCCGCCACACCGCCGAGCATCTGCAAGAGCAGGCCCGCCTTCACCCGCTCGTGGCCTCGAAAGGCTGGCAACCGATTTGACCTTTTGGGGAAGGATGGACAACGATGTGTTTGTGAATGGGTGTGTTTGTGCGTCTTTTGAGGGTGCCCGGTTTAGGCTGGTTTAACGAAAAACCAAAAGGAACATCACCATCACTACGTACACCCACAAGAGAGGATCAAACCTGGGGTCTCAGTGTTGCCAACTTTAGTCCTTTCCCATCTGCTTCATCAACCAGAACCAGTGAAACAAGCGGGGTTTGTTTCGCTCAGCCCTCACCGCGTTTGTTTTACTTGTCTGTGGTGCTTGGACACCTTCCATTTGCTTTGCAAAATTAGTTCGCTGGTGTGTGTGTGTGTGGTGCTCGTCACTCAAAGCCAGCCAAATGTTTGACGAACAAAGGGGGTCGCAACAAGCATGATTGTGTTTCTACCAAATTCATTTGGTTGCTCCCTACAATGTCAACCTCGGATTGATCCAAAGGACCCTACTAATCCCAGGAACCCCCAAACGACAAGATCCAAGCCAATGCCTGAATAGTATACTTTTCCAGGTCTTGAAGAAACCGTCCAGAAGGCGCACCCTCAACGGCAAAAGCAAGCACACATTTGCAATTACACTTACACTTACACTTACACACACACACACATTCCCCCACACATTTCCCCTGTTTCAACCCAAACACATATTCATATGTATATATATATATAGTTCCCCTCACCTTTCCCCTCTTTCAACGCCAACATCGGGCATTTCCCGCATGATTGCGCTTGGTTTCCGCGCCGCAGATGGCCGGGGCGAAGGATCTGGACAGCAGCTGGAAGGCGTCCTACGTCCGAGGCGTAGGGAATGACCGAGCCGGTGTGTTGGGAATGCACCGGTTTTGGGGATTCCCTTAAAGGAAATCTTAGGGGATGGTCTATGGTTTATGGGGAATTCCCTCATTCCCTGCCTGTCGAACCACTAAGTCAAATGAAGTCTAGGAACTGGAGTGAGAAACACGTTGCAAAAGCTGGGCTGACTCGGTTGGTGCCTGATTAGCGCCCCTCTTTGGGCTGGTTGTAGCATGGAGATGCGCCGCACTCCTCCCTCTCCGCGATCTTCTTGATGTTGGTCACCTCAAGCCCGTGGCCCGAATTCAACAACTCAGTCCTGTAGGGCTTATTTTTGCTTCAGTGGAGGTCATGTAGGCTATGTGACCAAATTATCTGGACCCAACAAAGCCATTCCTGGCAATTTCAAGCATGACCGTTGCCACCCACCTGAAAAAACACCACGCACACACGCGCACACACACACACACGCACAAATAACTGGCTTTGAGTGCGCCCCGGGAAAAAAAACAAACAACACAGAACAAAAGCAAAACAAGAACACAAAAACACACACACATAAAAAAATGACATGAAATGAAAAACACCTCGGGGCCCGGGCGTCTTGGTGCACCAAGACCGGCTGCACCAGGTCCCGGATGGGCTTGATGCTGGTGGCCACCTAGTCCAATGCAAGAAGAGAAGGTGAGGCAGTAAGGCATATCAGGTGGGTTGGTTCCAGTAAGCCGAGTAGACATTTCCTCATGAGCAGGGAAACAAAACGTAGTCAAACCATTCAATGTGAGCAGCTGCCCCCCCCCCCAAAGACTTTCCGTTTGGACAAACAAACTAAGTAACTTTCTAACTAGCTAACCAGGTGACTGCCTGACAAACAGCCACAAAGCCAGCACCATCTCCCGTGCCCGAGGCGATCGCTTCCAGGAGTCGGAGAGCGTGGAATCTGAGGATGTGTCCTTTTGTCTATCTGTATGCATCTATGCAGCCATGCATGTATGTATGTATTTACAAATGTATGTATGTCAGCCAGCCAACAAATAACTGACCAATCCGCCAAAGTCCCAGGGCCAAGTGAGGCTGGTGATGCAGAGGATGCAGGCAACCAACCAACCAACCAACCAGCCAGCCAACCAGCCAGCCAACCAACCAACCGACCCACCCACCAACCAACCAACCAGGGGACCAGCCCTAGTAAAACAAAAACAGTCCGAGGAAAAAACCACCGGATCCAAACAGTGACAGGGGGTCCGAGAAAAAGAAAAAAACACTTGCCAATTCCCTCTGCTTTCCTTTTGAGTCAAACTTAAACATGAAATTCAGGCTTCGCCGAACCAAAATCACCTGCGCCTCCACAGCACCCCAAGCCGGCCAAAACCGAGGCTTTCAAGGCTCTTGCCAGCTTGGCTGGGAACACCCCGTCGGTAAACTCCTGCCAGTTCTCGGTTGCGAAATCTGCTCCCCTGCTAAAAGTGACTCACTTTTTGTGGTTTGACGGAAAACCCATTCATTAATTAGTTGGCAAAAAGTTAAAGTCGTAATATCCAAGCAAAATGCACCAAAGAGTTAGTTGGAGAGCGATGCTTGGGGATCCAGAACTAGGGAGTGTCTCTCAGGCGATTCCATGGAAGCTCCTAGGACCCTTGAAAAGGACCTTCCTTAAAAGAGTCTGCAACTTTCCTGAATCGCCGGGAGAGTATCCCTGTTTAGTATTCAAAGGGAAACCCATGAGAATATGCCACTTTTGGAGACTTCCGTTGAGAACATGCACTTAAGGTTGGAGGACAAACAGCATGCACTTGCACTTGTGCTCGCTTATATCGCGGGTCCCTAGAAACCTACTGGGTCGAACATTGAAAGCCCTTCTCAGGCAAAATGGGTTTTGAAAGAGAACGTTGGGGTTCACAAATGCTTACCTTCCAAAAAGGGTAAGTTCTCAGGGAAAATGGACGGTTCTTTCGTGCTCTATTCCCTTAATAGAAAATCCGTGAGGGATTGATGTCACTCCCTGCAAACCTCAGGCAAATGTTGTGTGACCAGAGCACATGTATGTCAAAAGTCGGCGCTCTTGGGACGGGTTTTGCTAAGGGAACAGGTTCCCCTTTCAATACAAGGCAAAATAGAGGAACCCTCACAAAACAATTGAGCTACACAAAGGGTACCCTCAAAACAGGCCAACACAACGCAGTCACAAACGCAAACGCAAACACAGGGGGAGGGACCCTCTCCAGGGGTTCACTGGAAAGGTTGAATGCGGTCAAAATTACCTGACCCCCTCGAAAATCGCTGATGGGTTACTTTATGGACCTGTGCAACCTCTGATCACATTGCAGTAGCCGTTCGGTTCCCCCAAGCAAAGGCAAACCATGCATGAAACGTTGCCAGAGGGACAGGTGAGCCTGATGGTCAGAGCGCTCGCCTTTCCAGCCCACAGCATATGGCAATCGGCAAGACTTGATCCCGCTAACAGTGAAGAGAACCAACAACCCCAGACTGGAACAACAAACCAAAACCCCAAACTTCAACCCACCACGTAACTCAATTAGAACGACCGCGCAAAGCTAGACAAACGGCAGCGCCCCTGGGGGGTTCCCACAGCAGACTCCGGCCCAAAGGTCCTCTTTTTTTTTGCAGGCACAGCGCAACCCTGTAAAGGAGATCCAGCACCGTTTTCCCCCCTTCCACCAGAAGGGACACGGGACACCCAAGGTGGCCAAGGCCCTGCATGCTCCATTCTCGAAAGGCGTTTGGACCATCTGGTCAAATGGTGTCCCCTTGAGCCCTTTGAAAGGCGCGAAGTCCAAATGCGTTTGGCCCTCGGCAAGCAAAAAAAGGAGAGAGGGATTGTCTGCCCTCAGATCTGGGCTGTCTTCAGATGCTACAAAAGTGACCAACTTTTAGGTTTTTAAATAGAACCAAGCCAACCAAAAACCACGAAAAAAAGAAAGAAACACATCTTGGGAACCGGATGGCTTGTTGCACCACCCAGACATCCAAAACCAACTTTCGGGCTTCGGACCCAACGCCAACGCTCCACTCCTGCATGGGCGGCGGGAAGGAGCGATACACACCGATGACCTGCACCCGGTCGCCGGGCTTCGCCTCCGCCGAGCCGAGGTCTCGGTTTCACCGTTCGTAGGTCTCCACGGAAAAAGGCCATGCTTTTGTAAGAATTTTCCGGGTACCCTGGAATTACACCCCAAAAAGATTACCCCGATCAAACAAATAAACCTGAAAACATCCATGGTTGGAAGGGGAGCAAAACAGCTCTCAGATGTTTGCAGTTCAGTGGATTAGGACTTCAACCACTAAAATCACAACAAGCAAACATGTGTCCAGTGCTTCCCCACCACCACGAGTCCTTTGGCAAGGCATTTTTTTCGCGAATCCCTGCTCTGGAGATCCGGGCCGGTGGGGTAAAAGACCGGGGTGTACTATTCGCAGCCATGGAAAGGGATCTTCACCCTGGGAGTGCACCCCAAAAAGACCCCGAATCAACCCAAGTAAACCTTTAAAGAAATAACCGGGTTTTGTCCGGAAATAGGCCGGAATAGGGTGATCCCCCATTTTTAGGGAAGAATTCGGAATAGGAACACCATTGCCGGAGCCCCTACTGAAAGTTTTTAACTTGTACTAGCTTTATGGAAACTACCACTAAAGCCTAAAACTTTAAAAACAAAAGGAACCAGATGGCTAAGGAAGGGGAGTTTTGAGACCAAAGACTGTGTGAACAACAATTCCTCTAAGCGAAAGCGGTGAGCAGGCAACAGCTAAGCTGAGTTGCCAGGATCAAAAAAGCACACAATAGAATCATGACTTTGAAGTACCCCAACCTCCCAATCCCTAGAAACCAACCCAACTCGACCAATTTTCTCTCCCCCGGTGTGGCAAGGAAGGAACCATGCACTCCGGGAGCGCTTGCACGTTTCTTTGAGGCCCCCCTATTTTCTTGCTGGCTTGATAGGCAGGGAATGAGAAATGGAATGACCCCGAGCAAAACCCCCTTCCAGTTCATTCCTAACACTTCGGGCCATTCCCAACAGCACCGGCCAGTTTTAAGGCACACCCGACAGAAGGCACTACAAACGCCGGCCCATGTAATCTTTTCATGGGGAAGGCCCCTTTTGCGCATTCATTGTGTTGAAACCGATGTGCGACCAGAGCGGGGCACTGCCTGCATTGGCGGTAGCTCAAATAAAATAGTGTTTGTTGGAACCCCTTCTGAATGTCCGTTCTTGCTTGACGCGCCCAACCCAAGCAACTTGTCCGCGCTGTTTTTGCAGCGTTGCTCATCTCTTTGATCGGTTGATCCCCCTTCATCTCTGGACGTTCGGAACGAGCGTTGGGAGCGGATGGCACTCTGCCCCCGCGGAAAGAGCACAATATGTCTGCAAACGATGCTTGAGTGGAACTGCTGGACAAAGCTTGGATGTCGACCCGGATTTCACCTGGATTAATAGGGGGCGATTCTCACAAAATGGAGGACGCCCCCTATTAATCAGCTAGCGGCTTCCTTCTACTGGGTTCCCACAAGCAATCGACAACTCAGCCTCAGCGCACGCCCGATTTTCCATGCTTTGCTTGTCAAATTCCGCCTAGTTCCCTGCGTGTAAGAAAACAAGGAGAGACGAGGGCAAGAAACATGCCGAATTCGCTCGGCGAAGTTCAGCCAGTCTGTACACGGAAATACGGAGATGTGCTGCTTGAAAAGGGTCTGTACACAAAATCCAACAACTCAGCAGGAAAACCCAAAGGCTCTGTCAGGGTGATTCAAATGCTGGATCCCTGAAGATTTGCCTGCCGCTTTCTTTGAAGAGGCAGTTGTCATGTACGCTTGAGGCTAGGCTACCCTCAGGGCTGCATGATGCTAGCCGTTGAAACAATAAGTGGATGAATGTTTAATGCTAACTTCGGATTGATACAAAGGACCGTGCCAATCAGGGGCGGTTCGTCTTTTAGTACGCGCCCTCCGGATAGAAAACCTCTGGTCATTGTTATGTCTTATTTTTTGTTGTCTAATACATATATATATATATTTGTTTTTTTTCCCGGGCAGGCTTTGTCTTCATCTCCCGGTTTACTTGGTGGCTTCTCCGCCACAATGCCCCCGACGATCCCAGGACTTTTCAAAGATTGCTTGCCAATGCCAGTGCCAATGCCCAAACGACAAATCAATGCTAGTATGTGGCAGGGGTGTGTGCAGGCTCTTGAATGGGGGTGTGCTCATCATTTAGCAGGTGTGTGTGTGTGTGTGCAATGCTGAGCGGGTGCTCTTGAGCAGACGTGCTCATCACTTAGCAGGGGCGTGCGCAGAACCTCAGCCTCCTAGCCTAGGCAGCTGCTGAAACGCTGCGAAAACCACGTTGAAAGTAAACCACGGCCGGATATCAACACGTCCCCTGCAACGGGGGGGGGGGGGTTCACCACTAGTTTGCGGGCTCACTACACGGAGGTTCCATTCAGCAAGAACGAAACTTGTTGGCGTGCGCATGTTCATTGGTTCCCGGGCTCAGTGCCTAATGCAAAACCGCTTGGTAGGGGGCGCCGCCTGCAAGGTACCTTCTAGTGTGGAAATTAACTTTGTTTTTTGGGGCTCTCGTTCAAAATCCGAAGTCAGCATTGTGACATTGTGTGACCATGAAGATGGTCTGTCAACAAAAGGCATAGCAAGCTCGGAGCTTGCTCAGTAGGCTGGTGAATTGATGCATCCCCAGCCGGGTCCTGCTTGTTCACCCACAGGACCCGTTTTGCTACACCCCTAACCATTTAATAACCTCTTTCCAGCAACCATGGAAGTAGATGGAGGGACTTCTTGAGACGGCGGTAGTCTTCCAAAACCCTCCTGTGTACTTCCATGCTTGCTGGAAAGATATTTATTCAAACTGGTCAGCAAAACTGGCCGGGCGAAGCAATCCCCTTAAAAAGGTCCAAGTCTTGCTCGCAACCTTCGAAATGAAGCACGGCTTGTGCGGACTACTGTCGCTGAATGGAACCCGCTGTGTTTCCGTATATCGCTGAAGAGCCCCTGCACTTGAAGTGCCAACCTCGAAACCCAGGTGCTTCCATGTGGCCAAGCTGAGTAAAACAACCAGATTATCATTGTACAAGTATGTAGAAATACATATACATATATATATATATATACATACATATACATACATATATATATACATACATGCGCATGCAGGGAAGCATATGCGCATGTATTTGCGCCTCCCTTTACATGTTGCTCTTCCAGGTCTTTGCTGGACGTTCATACAGATATATGGCTGTGCCTTTGTTCGGAGACCCCCCGAAATGGTGTTAGGTCCCTTTTAAAATCAGAAAAGAGGGGGACCCTTAAAAAACAGACCCATATATATACATAGATAGAAATATATATATATATATATATATTATATATATATATATATTTACACCATATATATAAAAAACACATGACAATGATCAAAGGAAGTTTAGTGAGCAAACTTGCGCGATACGAAATGCGGAGATACTCGCACGAAGGGAACCTCTGTTTTGCGCAGGGGTTCGGCAATGGTTCGACACGGGTTCGCCACTGGTTCGCCACGGGTTCGCAGGGTCTCGGAAAGTTACCCAATGGCACGGCCGTGCAAGGTGTTCGCTAGGTTTGAATGGCGTGGCAGGCGCAACCTGAGGTGCAGGTTTTGTGGCAGGCGCAGCACTTTTGCAAGGTCGAGCACATATTTTGTGGCAGGCGCAGCGCTTTCTCAAGGCTAGGCGCAAATCCGCCGACCCTCTGCCTCCCGTCCCAGCCTCCTGCAGAGGGGACCGGCGTGGGATGCAACTGGAAGTGATTGGAATCAATGATAGTCCCTCAAGGACACGCCCGAACGCACAAAAAGTGGATTTCCAGGACCGGTCCCGGGACCGGTCCTAAGACCAGTCCTGGGACCAGTCCTGGGACCGGTCCTGGGACTGGTCCTGGGACCCTGGTTCTGCTGTTTCAGATTACTTGTAGTCAACCAAGGACCGGTCCGGGACCGGTCCGGGATCAGTTCCAGGACCGGTCCTGGGACCAGTCCTGGGACCGGTTCCCAAAACCGGGGTTTGGTCCTGGAACTGGTCCTGGGACCAGTCCTGTGGGACTGGTCCCAGGACCAGTCCCAGGACTTGTGGGACTGGTCCCAGGACCGGTCCTGAGACCGGTCCCAGGTGTGACCTGGTACTTCAAATTGCTGTGGTGCGACCGCAAACAGCTCCAGAAAACTTTCCGGACTGGCACCCAGGACACTGGACAGGGTCCCAGGTCGTCACTGACTGCGACCAGTTGAGGGGGACCAACAGCCTTGTTTCTAGGACCAGCTCAACGTGGCTTCGGCACAAACCGGCCCGTGCGGTTATTGACGGACGAGCTGTCATCTGTCTGACTTTTCCGTTAATCCTTGTGGTAGTAGAGGATCCCTGGATCTATTCTGCAAGAGAGTCCAATACGTCGAGCCCGGTCGCTGCGGCGACCGGTCCAGGGCAACTTCGGGAGGGCCAGTTTCAGGGCGACCCCGGGAGAGGCGCCAACTCGAAGTGACTTCGGCGCAAGCCGGCCCAAGCGGTAATTAACGGACTAGCTGCCCTATTCCTGACGTTTCCGTTAATCCTTGTTTGTGGTCGTAGAGGATCTTATAAGTGGTCCCTGGGTTTGCGGACGTGTTTCTGGACCGGTCCTTGTGACTTTTCCCTTAATGCGCCGAGGGTCGGCGGCAGCAGGCGGGAGCCTGGTTAAATAGATAGATAGATAGATAGATGAAATGGAAAGAGAGAGAGAGAGAGAGAGAAACAAAAACACAGGCAGAAGAATTAAAGAAAGAATGAAAGAAAGGAAACAAGAGAGAGAGAGAGAGAGAGAGAGAGAGAGAGCAAAGTAAGAAAGAAAGGAAGAAATAGATACAGAAGAAGTGAATTGTCGGCTCGGCCAAAAAGGTGCGTGGGCGGGGCGCGGACTGTTTGTTGTTCTCTTCGTATAGGCACACGTCTTTTCTAGAAACTTCCGCCCTCCAGCTCCGCTGGAGCATACCTGGTATAAATACAATTTACATATAAACATATATAGATGTACACATATATATATATATATATATATTATCTATGTTCTGTATACTGTACATTCGTAAGCGGCTCAATGACAGGCTAGGAAACGGGTGACCTAAGAATCCCAAAAACCTGCCCCTAGTCGTGACCCGCGTTTCGCCAGCGCTTCTTTCAACATCTGTTTGTGAAAAACAAACTGTTTTAGGTCAAGGTTTTCCTTTGAACGGTACCAAGGTCTGGTTTTGTCACAAATGCCATGGTCAACACTTATGCCTATTTGGAGGGAAAATGAGCGTTGCTCCCTTTGCACGGATCCGTGCAACACTCATGCCAAAACCCCTATCAAGCGTACAGGCACAAAACGTGCCAGGCATCAAGAGACTCATACAAAGCGCATCTTATGGACAATGTACCCCTCTATAGGACCTTCATGATGGGTTGGTCGCTCGTTGTGCCCCCGAATTGGTACACTCATCATGATACTTGCCCGGACAAAACACGGCGGGTTTCCGGCGTTCCGCCCATGGGCCGGTCATCTCTTGCCGCCGCACATCCTCCCGCACCTCCTTCCGCACATCCTCACTTGCAAGGGAGTGAAAATGACTAAAGTTGGTTTTTCGGACCCAGGGCTGGCTTTGGCCCTCTGCAAAGGGAACCAAAGAGTTGTTTGCAGAGTGGCTTTAGCGTGTTTAAATACAGAATTTGCCCAACCCTGGCCAAAACTGGAAGACCACAAGCTCAAAACCCGACAATTAGTTTGCAGGATGATGTCTAGAAGCTTTCAGTGAACATCCTGTAAACCAACCCTTTGACGAGCTGTTTGACTGAAGGTTCCCTTTCCAGCGAGTGAGTGGGGGAAACTATTGCTTTCGCTGGTCAGAGAATATTTCGGAAAAACAAGGATGCTGTTGGACCCACGACAAGTGAGTGTAAACTGGAAAACCCACACACGCGGCGAGGGAACCACTGTTTGGGTTCTTCAAAGGAAAATGTCATGCACAACTAGAGACAAATCCCCAGCCGGTCAATTCAAGAAAGGGACTTGAAAGGGGGGGGATCGTTTTGATAAGTTGGGCTCCGTTAAAGCCCCACCCAACCCTCACCCCCCTTCGGGCTTTCTCATGGAACTCCAAGGGGAAGGGGCTGTCACCTTCAACAATCTTGAGACATGTCAAGGACTTTGTCCCAGGCTAGCCCCATTTCACCATGGTCACAAGCCGAGACAACCAGAAACCGTCAAAATGCTTCCAGTGCACCTTGTCAAACCCCTTTGAAGGTCCTTTATCGTGCCCCAACCGATGCTCCCTAATGGTTCCATTAGTTTTTCTCGGGGAACAACCTGAGGTTCTAAGCGTTGACCGATCAAAAAGTCAACATTGGAATGTCGAGACATTAAACCCCAGGGATTTCAGGTTTCCCTGTGGTTTGCCAAAACCCCAAAGTGATCCCGCACATGACCCTCTTTCTTGCTGGGTAATTAGGGAGTTTTTGCGGTTTTGGGAATGAACCGAACGGTGACCCCCTTCAATCCCGCTTCATTCCCAAAGCCGTAAAGACCTTCACTGAGAACCAGCAAGTGCTGGGTGTTTCTCAAACTAGGGCTCCCCTAAAACGGTTGGTTTCCATTTGGCAGGCTGACCTGAAATAAGAAGTTGATCCCCAAGTAAAGGACCTCGAAATACAATATGCAAAAGCAACGAGACAGCGAAGTGCAGATGAGCATCCAGGTGCATAGGTAGACCCCGACCTTCCCCAAGCACGCGAGGCAGCAGGCACCAACAATCACCACCCCCAGAGCGATGAGCGGCCGACCCCACCTTGGTACAAGACGCCCATGGTGGGTTCCTTAAACTGAACATTCCGAAGGGTTCTCACAAACCGCTTCTGGGGGTGGTCGCCCTTTTAACCACCACTTAAAGGCGGATTGTTGAGGTTGTCACTTTCGTGGAACCTGTATCGCGCCGGCCTTTATGATCACCCTTTGGAGAAATCGACCTTCCTTCCCCAGTTTCTGGACTTAGTTGAAAGAGCACCTTGGTCATGAGTCTGCTAGGTTCTCCAGTAGAGAGGTTCGAATAAGGGTACCCTTTTTTCTGTAGTCTATTTTAGTAGGGGAACCCTCCCCAAAAAAAGGTAAAAGGGCACTACTGGGAGACTTAGTCTGGAATCATCAACCTGCATTGGTCGGGGTGTGTTCGGCCAAATTACATAAGTTGGTAGCCTAGGTTGTGACCCTTCTGTTTCGTCTCTGTGGAGCTAACCCTGCTATGGTGGCAAACCACTTACTAACTTCACGAACTATTTCAGTGAGGTTGGTTCATAAAGTAGAACATGGGCTTGTGGGGAATTGGAATATACTGGATTCAAAATGCTCTATGGACTATGGAAGTGAGGCTGTGTCTCACTTATAGGAGTATATGCGTCAACAACTTTGCTGGTATGCAAGCCTCACATCTCTCCAAGGCAAACATGAGCCTTGTCACACCCTGGGCTTTCTCTCGGGCAATGCCCAGCACGGCCCGCAAGGACGCTCCTCCGTTTCCAACATCGTGAATTGCACATGCGTTAATTTCCTATCATATCCATCTACCTGTGTATACTTACATGTTTGTACTATGCATGTGCAGACATGCATGCACAACCATGCACATACGTGTACTTTTACATGCATGTTATGTTTCTTTGACACAAACACGTGGCTCTGTTCGCTTGACACATTTGGCGCCAACAATAAGCTGTGCATGTGGCCAAACTGGCCGGCGTATACAAGGCTGCCAACACCTGCAATAAGGGATGCGCATGTCAAGGGCCTAAATGCGAGCATGCCATAAAATCGGCTGAGATGCAAAGAGCCCGGTGCTCAACTGGTGCTGATTGGTCACTCTCAACGCATGGAGCTCTCCGACGGTTTTATGTGGGAATCAAACGAATCTCCACATATTTTGAAAGAGACATGATGCATGGGGGTTCCCCTCATTTTGTTTGACGAACGCATAGGTCAAACAAAGACCTTTGGGGTTACTGAAAATGACTTCGCCAAGGCTCGCAGGCATGCCGTCCCTGAACTGGGCCCAGGCCTTGTCCTTTGGCAAAATGCGACAGCGTGAACTCGCTCTTTTAGGAATCGGACACTCCAAATTCTAGGCGTTCCTCTCGGTTTGCCTTAAAAACCACCAAACAAGGGTACCCTCAAAAGAAGACACACCCATTTGGGCATGACACTGGATTTCCCCAGATCAACTTGCTGGGGTCGCTACTTTCGGAGGTTGCAACAAGAAAGTGGAGGAAACCCTTTTCTAGGACACCTGCTTGGCCGAACATCCTAGGAAAGATACTGGGTTTGAATGAACCTCATGTGACTCATGTGCTAGGGGTTAAGAAGCGTTTAGGGCGGAGTTTCGGATCAATTGCCCCTATGTTGGCTGGGCTGTCCTCAGATCCCCTTCTAATAGTTAAACTTTTAGCGGGTCAACTGGAAAACCCCTCGAAAGAAAAAACAACCAACAGCCTAAAGGGGAAAGCTAGGAAGAGCCAAGGTGGCAAGCCAAGCGAGATAAAGATATGAACACATATTGTGTCACGGAGAAAGCGACACGAACCAAGGTTGTGCCTTTTGCCGCTTGGTGGGAGGATGGGGGATGTGGCTCAAACCGAATCCGACTGGTTGTGGCATGCTATATGTTTTCCTCAAAATGGTTGTCGTAAAACGACTAGCAGCAAAAGGAAGCGACAGCCAGTGGAAGCGCCAACAAACCCAAACGAACACGAGCCCAAAGCAACTAACAGCAACAATCCAACGAAAACACAACCACCCACTCCCAAAGACATCCAAAGACATCCAAAGACACCCAAAGACACCCAAAGACACCCAAAGACACCCAAAGACACCCAGACACAACAACTATAGATACCGCCTCAAAAAACACACCTCAAACCACACCAATTTAAACAGAACCAAAGGCATGGCATGTCCGGAAACTTTTGCGGTAGCGTCGATCTGGCTCTGGCAGCAGGCTTTCAGCATCTCCTTCTCCTTCTCCATGTGGCTTCCCGAGAACCAGCCCACGCACTGCGCGTAGGTCCTTGGCTCGCATCTCAAAACAAAAAAAAACGAGCCCGGAACCGACCCGGGTACGTTCACATTCTTCCGGGCTTCGATTGCGCTGTTGGCATTTTGCTTCGAAGGATCAGTTGGAGCACTTTGAAAGGGGCCCTAAATAGGTGTTGATCAGGCGGCAAAACAAGTTCGGACCCACCTGGTTTAGAAATCCCGAATTTTCTGGGGTGCGGAACTGTTTCATTCCAAACATCCGTGGGAGCAATTGATGAGCCTGATGGGTTTGGTTTGATTCGTTACCCTGCTGGGGTCAGAAAAGTTCAGCTGAACGTTGCGTCAAACCTTGCAGCTTTGTGGATGGTGATGGTTCCAAGAAGCTGTTCAATGGTATTAATCTAGGTTCCCCTTGCAAAGGTTGCGAATCTACCAAACCCAGGTGGAAAGGGTTTTGTTTATCACATGCGCGAAAAATGGGACCCCTTGCCCACTTGATCGGTGATAAGAAACGGAGCCATCTTCCCCAACCGCTCCTCATGGGATAATGGGGCGTGCCCCGTATGTAGTCCGTCGAGTCTAAGCCGACTTTCCCTTGGGGGCAACCCAAGCTGGTCAGGACCACAATCCCAATGAAGCTGTAGGAGAATTCATTGCGAATAGTTGCCGTGCTTGTAGAACATGAGCCGTTTCTATAGCGGTTGATTCACATGTTCACATGACGAATTACTTGTGGAAAGTAGCCTTTTAAAACAACATGTTTCACAACCATGCCATTTTGCACAACGGCGGTCGAACGACTGCAAAGGACACCAACCCTAACACCTAAGTTGGAAGTTGGTGACCCCACATTAGTCCGAAAAACTGTTCTCAGGAGTAGTCCCCCTTCCAGTAAGGAACTGAGGGTTACGCTGACTGGTAGGGTTCTCCTGGTGAAAATCGGAAGTTGTCATTATCACCAATGCAAATAATGTTCAGGGCGGCCGCGCCTGTTCATTTATGGTTAGGACTGTCCCTTGAATGCGGCTTTGGTTGTGTCTCTTGCTAGCATCGGATCCATCCGAAGGGCCTTATGAGTTCCAGGAACCCCCTCCAGCCCTCCCCCCCCCTTCCCAACATAAAAATCAGCAGGGTCCTCCACTAGACAGGTTTGAATAAGGGTACCCTTTTTCTGTAGTCTATTTTAGTGGGGGAACCCTCCCAACCAAAAGAGTTGGTGAGAAAGGACACCCTTTTGCTGGGGGACCTAGAATCAGCACAGCCCGGATCCGCACACCTCAAAACATCCCCTCGAGGCCCGTGGCACGTGCAGTTCTCCTGGCCCGCCCTGTGCGCCAGCCGCCGCAGAAAACGGCTCGGGCTCGGATCCGCGCCCGCGACAGCCAGAAGAAGCGCCAGAAGCAGCATGGGCCGCGCTGTTCGGCTTCGGCTAGGTGGCTAAAATTTTTGGAAAACGCTCCCGAAATGGTGGGGCCTCCTTTCTTTTTAAACCAACCCCCAAAAAAGGTACCCTACACCCCCTATGAGCTGGAGCGTGTCAGAGATCCCAGGATCAATGGCTAGTTTGCTGTGATCCAGAGGTTCCCAACGCCCGTCCATGAGCCGGCAAAGGCATGAATGGCGAAAACCCCGTGCCTTCCGGAAATCGGCAAGCACGTCGCCAAATTCCCTGCAAGAAGAAGAAGAAGAAGCACGTCAAATTTTGGCAAGATGATAAAGTTGCAACATCCCCTCCAACTCAATATCTTGATGTGCAACTTGGGGTGCTCGCTCTCTCTCGTTTTTGCTGCGTAGTCTTGTGTTTCCGAAATCCTGCCTGAAAGCTTGAGGCCGACATGAGCGCCTTGATTGCTTCCGGATCTCGTCAAGTTCCAGAGAGTCCCCCGTGTTTCTTTTCAAGTGGTCAAAGACTGCGGGATCTTTCTTCAGAAATCGCCCTACGCTTTTTGGAATCAGGGTGTTTTTCCGCCCTGGGACCCTTTTCCCCCTGCTCAGTGAGGAGGCTTAAACACGAGTTATCCTTCCCAGAGGGGCGGAAAAAAGGGGCCGGACGGCCTGTTCTCTACACAGGAAAACTGCATTTACTCTATGCCTGTATGCCAATGATACAGCTGAACTCTGCTCAATCCCTTGCAAGGCAGTTCCGTGGCTCAAGGATCAAGTGACAGCCGGGACAGTTTGGAGCTCCAATATAAATAGGCTTGTGCCAAAGGAACACCCAAAGGAAACCCATTTTGGGTGGTCTAACAAATATATGGATGGATTCATGGAATCATTCATGGTCAACCGCTACAAGGCGATCCAAGAGTCATGTCGGTGGCACTAAAACTTCAGAACCGGCCTGTGGCGTTGCACGTTTGCCGTGTTTCTTTGCACTGCGCTGTGAGTTGTAGTGTTGTGTATGCTTGCCAGCAGATTAATTTGACCTCCAACATGTTCCGCTTTTCCCCAGTGAGATGTGCTTACTCTTACACAATGACATTCCTCGTCCTCAACCAGCCTGACAAAACCAAGCAACAATCCCTCCTGAAGCAAAACACCAAGCTCTGAAAACTAGACGACGAGTGGCCCGGAAGCATAGAGGCAAGTTGATGCAGGTGAGGTAACTCTCGCAAAGTTAGCATGAGGAGTTGCCTGGCAGGCGAAGCAATTCTCAAAAAGTTGGCATGAGCAGCTGGCAGGTTAAGTAACTCTCGAATAGTTGGCTGGCAAAGTTGGCGGGTGAAGTAATTCTCGCAAAGTTGATTCTCGCAAAGTTGACATGAGAAGTTGGCAGGCGAAGTAACTCAAGAGAAAAGTTGGCATGAGAAGTTGGCAGGTGAAATAACTCTCAAAGAGTTGGCATGAGAAGTTGGCAGGTGAAGTAACTCTCGAAAAGTTGGCGTGAGAAGCTGGCAGGTGAAGTAATTCTCGAAAAGTTGGCACGAGAAGATGGCGCGTGAAGTCACTCTCGAAAAGTTGGCGTGAGAAGCCGGCAGGTGAAGTAACTTTCGAAAAGTTAGCATGAGAAGTTGGCAGGCGAAGTAATTCTCGAAAAGTTGGCGCGAGAAGTTGGCAGGCGAAGTAACTCTCGAAAAGTTGGCAGGCGATGTTGGCAGGTGAAGTACCTCTCGAAAAGTTGGCATGAGAAGCTGGCAGGTGAAGTAATTTATCGAAAAGTTGCCACGAGAGGTTGGCAGATAAAGTATTTCTCGAAAAGTTGGCATGAGAAGTTGGCAGGTGAAGTAATTCTCGAAAAGTTGGCAGGTGAAGTTGCCACGAGAGGTTGGCAGGTAAAGTATTTCTCGAAAAGTTGGCATGAGAAGTTGGCAGGTAAAGTAATTCTCGAAAAGTTGGCATGAGAAGCTCGCAGGTGTAGTAACTCTCGAAAAGTTGGCATGATAAGCTCGCAGGTGAAGTAACTCCTCGAAAAGTTGGCACGAGAAGTTGGCAGGTGAAGTAACTCTCGAAAAGGTGGCATGAGAAGCTGGCAGGTGAAGTAATTCTCGAAGTTTCGGCATGAGAAACTGGCAGGTGAAGTAATTAACCCTCAAAAAGCTGGAGCGGCGGAGGCGCTCCGCGTGCTACATTTGCAATTTACAGTTGCGATTTTCCAGCCATTTGTATCTAAAAGTTGCGATTTTCCAGCCGGAGCTGCGGGAGCACGCTCCGCGTACTACGTCTGTACTTAAAAGTTGCGATTTTCCAGCCGGAGCTGCAGCAGCACGCTCCGCGTACTACGTCTGTACTTAAAAGTTGCGATTTGCCAGCCGGAGCTGCAGGAGCACGCTCCGCGTACTACGTTTGTACTTAAAAGCTGCGATTTTCAAGCCGGAGCTGCCGCGGACCAGGGGGGAATCGAACCCGAGACCGCGGGATTGCGAAAGCAGGCGCGCAAACCACGAGACAACTTCCAAAGGCCGTTTCGCGAGCAAGAAAATCGCACGGGCCACAGCGAGAGCGCTTCGACACGCACGATCTCCGCAGAGGGTTCATCGGGCTCAAGACAGATCGACACGCAAGATCTCCGCAGAGGGCTCGCCGCGACCAAGA